GGACCAGTCGTGCAAAGTGTGCTGCAAGGACAAGGATGGAGTGTGCAAGCCTTCTCTTTCTCCTGCGAAAGAGCATCTGTACCTGCGCAAAGGAAAGCCCTGCACTGTGGGCTTCTGTGATGGGCATGTGAGTGTCTTTTCTCTTTTTTAGTAATACAGATATATGCTTGTATGGCAGTGTGACATCTATCTACATCCCCATATGTCTGTATGACCTGTGCAGCGGTGTGAGGAACAAGTTCACCCTATAGCACTGACACTTCATCAGAAGTCATTGGTCATTTTGTAGATGGCATCATGCCCAAATAAGGAACTCCCAGTGAAAGCCATTGTTCCCTGTGAGACTTTCAAAAATTGCAGTCGTTGTCCCCTTGGGCAAACAAAAATGTTCTAAAGCTGTTTTGTTTTACACACATTTTTTCCCCTTAATGTCACTGGATGCTCTGAATGATTACAGGATCATTAAGGAGAAATATGAAGCTTTGTAAAATGTGTTATTTCAGCTACTACATGACCTCAGAATTCAGAGGATCCAATATGTACATTGAACAAAACATATCCGCGTTGAAGCCTTTTCGTTTACCACAGGGTACCACAGCAGGTTTTTTTATTTATTTATTTTTTTCCTTCCAAAATGTCACATCCAAAATGCCCTTAAGCAAAACCTGGAGTTCCTTATTTGGATGTGATGCTGACTAAGAAATGATGCATGATCTTAGAGATTTGTTGCCAAGATAGGTTGTGCTAAAGTGTTCTACTTTTCCTGTTCTGCAGGGAAAATGCATGAAGCAAGTTCAAGATGTTGTTGAGAGGTTGTGGGACTTCATTGACAAGCTGGACATCAACACATTTGGTAAGAGGCAATGGCACAGTTGACTACTTTAGAGGATGCACCACCAACAGTCCTTTTCCAGGGAACAGGTTGCATTGTCCTGGCCGCTTTGACAACATATCCATAGTAATGGCACCTAACTGTCTTTTTTTGTTTTTTTAAATCTTCAGGCAAGTTCCTGGCTGACAACATAGTGGGCTCAGTGGTGGTGTTTTCCCTCCTATTCTGGATCCCTTTGAGCATTTTGGTGCACTGTGTGGTAAGACCATTTTCTGTTCAGCTTAAAGAGAACCCTGACTGTTAAGACATATAGGCCCCAATATAGTGTCCATGTCCAATATCAATCAAATCAAATATGTTGTATAAACCAAGCAAAATACTTTATTTATTGTTAAAAATAGACAAAATCCTTGTACTAGTAGGTTGCCATTTTTGTTGCAGCAACAAGTGGTTGCTCTCTCTCTTGTCCACTGAGCAAGAACAGCGAGCTAAATATCTCTTTTAACTCTAATATATCTATATATATAATATATATATAGTCTTTCCAACTCGTAGGACTGAGTCCACCGTAACCATATGACATCCCAGTGTGACAGTGGGGAGGAATTTAGCCCATTTGTCATTTTTTCATAATAAACAAAACATTCCCATTTGGTTTATGTCATATTGTAATAGTATTGGACATGCACACTGTTTTAAGGCATACAAATCTTAACAGTCAGGGTTCCCTTTGAATCAGTCTTGTAAAGTTGCTAAAAGATTCTCTTAAAGCGGCAAAAGACTAGACGTAACACCTTTTGTGCTTGTTTTTAGGATAAGAAGCTGGACAGACAGTATGAGGAAAACTCCAAGTCTCTAATTTATCCCACTGTAAGTCTCTTTGCCTCATTATCCACAACCTAATTCACATCATGCACGTTCTACCCTTCCAGAGACCACAGCCATTAACATACTAATAAAAAAAAAACCAAGCTAGCACATTAACACAGTGCACGTGTAAACATTTCATACATAGCTGCAGTTAGCATGGGCCTTTTCAGTAGGGTTAACAAACTGTGGGTGAACTTGGCTGAAGATATGACCTGTGGCTCCACTGTTTGCTCTGGGTCTCATGGAACTGCAGCAGATGATGGTGGAAGTGTGTAGTAAAGCCTCAGGTGAGTGTGTGTATATATGTGTTACGTGGCCTCACCTTCCTGCCTTCCTGCCCTGGAGTGTATGCTGTCGCATGAGGTGGCAGAAGTGTGGTGGGTCGCTGCACACTCGTTGGCTACTTGTCATGTGGTTAAATGACAGCTTGTCAAACGCTGACGCACGGTTGTAGTTTGTGTTTTTGTGCAGTCGGTGTCAGTAAAGGTGTCATTAAGTCTTGGGACTGGTGTGGATTTGAATTTCGTTTTTTCATTTTGCATGCATGGCTTTCAATACAGATATTATTCATGCCATGAATGCTCCCTGTAGCATGGTTATGTGGACATCCCTGGTACCAGAGATGTGGATGATTGTCTGAGCAGGTGTGATTGTGAGGATGTGTAGATGTACTCCAAAGCAGTGGTTCACCAGCTCTGGTCCTGGAGTATTTCTGCCCTGCATATTTCGCTGTTTTCCTTATTCTAACACATGAACTCGTCAGCTAATTAACAAACCGTGCTGTGTTAAAGTGGAGGTGCTAGAACAGCACGACAGGGAAGCTCCAGCAAAAGGGTTTGATCGGGCATGTTTACCCGTCTGGTCAACATTGTGTTAAAACAGAATTTTCTAGTGTTTGTCAAATACTGCAATATTAGGGGGAAAAGATGATGATAACTTTTGTTTAACCTTCTGTAAAGTTTCATGTAATCAGCGTAATTTCTCAGTTTTCCTTTCAAAATAGGTTTTAATTTGAACATCTTGCACATTGTGTTTATTTATTTGATGACCCTTAACATCCTTGGAAACTTTTTCCTCATATGAACATTATCATTAAAGATAAAAACATTAACATTAAACACAGAATAGCATTGTTATTCATTCATTGATTCATTTACTAGAGGGTCCTTGGCATCCCTGGAAACATTTCCTAAGCAAAATCTTATTTTAGAAAAGTCAACTTCTAACTATGGAGTAACATTTGGTTTTACATATCTGCATTCTTCTCTTGCCTCCTTCTCTCAGAACGTGGAGATGCTGAGCGGTCAGGAGGGGGCTCCCATGCGCATCGTCAGGGCCCCTCAGTCTTCCCATTCAGCAGCCCGACCCCCGCCCTTCCTGCCCCAGCAGGGCCACCCAAGCGGCAGCACTATCGCCACTCAGGCACCGGCCCAACATGCAGCAGCCCACGGCCCTGCCCCGGCCTCCGCCGAACCCAGAGCGGATCCGCAGCGAATGGCCACCATCGCCGAGGACCCCACCGGGGACTCTCCCCAGGACGATCCGGGAGACTTCCCCCAAAGCTCCTCAGCAACCAGGTCCTTCGAGGACCTCACCGAACAGTCACCATTAAACCGCCAGGACAAGAGGCGGCTGCAGAGACAAGCCCGCATTGACAGCAAGGAGACGGAATGCTGAGAGAGGTATGATCCCTCCCAGTCATACCTCCACACGTACTCCCCAAGTACACACGTTATACACAACACACGCATGAGCCTTCCTCAAGAATTAGTTTGGAGACAATCCAGCTTCACCACAGTGCAGGTGTGTCATGTTATCTGCTGAATCTGTCGGTTAACCGTGACGTATCTTGCATTCACTTGTTAGTAAATCACAGATGTATTAAAGAGTAACAGAGTGATGTATAGAAGTAAGAGACTGTAGTCTTTGGACCTGGATATTAAGTTATTGATCGCTGATCAACCTGACAAGTGCCTTGTAGAACATCTGCTGTTGGTGAAACTAAAAATTAAAAGTTTGATCATCACACTGGAATGTCTGCCGCCATGGCCCCTAGTGTGGATCAGTGAATCCTGCCTTCTGCTGTGAAACCATACACCACTACTTGGAGATGCATCCATGTTTTCCTGCCTTTTTTTCGATCACTCCAGGTGGTACAGTAAAGGTTAGGTGTCCAGACACAGATTAAACCAAATCTAGATTTACGACCGTTTCCAACCCAGATTTTGTACTGACAGTAATCTGGTTCTAGACTAGGCTTGATCTGTGTCTGTGAAACCAGCCATTAATCTCTCAATTCAGAGATTATGCTCCATGCTATCATCAATTTGCTACTCTATTAAGTGATAGTATTTAAATTGTTCGGTTTCTGCAAGATGTCAGTGGCATGAGTGCTTTGTCTTAATCACTCCTGGTAAACATGAATTAGATTTTTAGACTGGAAGCATGAAGAGTATATCCTGTCATTGTGTATCCTCCAAAACATCTCTGGAGTCTTAGCCTTCCTCTGTCTCTACTGTGGTATGGCAGATTTAGTTACTATGTCCTAGATTATTTTTTAAAAACTCCTTAAAGAACTGGAATGCTTAAATGAAACACTGCTGAATAGTATTATATGCATACCCACATAAACATATCAGGAGTTAGAAGTGTTACAGAGCATGTGTGTTTTTTTTGTGGCTGCACTATATTTTTGGATGCTGTTTTGGTCTTAAATTGCATTAATATGTAATCTTAAAATTGGTCTCTAATGGCCCAAAGCTGTTTTTTTACGAGTAGTTTAGTTGTGAATTTATGATCAAGCACTATTGATGTAAATCTGTATAAATTGCATTCTGTTTCGCAAACTCTTGCATAAAATCATATAGTGAAGTCCTGTTAATATGATTTTATGTATTGTATTGCATTTCTTAAGTTATGCAGCTATAAAATTTAGGACTGTGCCTTTTTTGTTATCCACTGGTACTGTATTTTATAGTCTTTCTGTTTTATATATAGAAATGGTATCCCCTGTTTCTATAAGTGTAACTGTAACTCAAGTATTTGACATTATGGCTTAATAATGCCCATGTCTAAAGGTTTGTAGCATTTTGATGTGCCATAATACTAATTTTTCTGCTATATCAAAGCTACAGTAGACCAGAGGGTTTAAAAAAAAAAAATCATATCTCACTCACTTGAAAGTTTTATGGGGCACTAATATGATATTACCTTTATCTTTTGTATGTGTATTTCGGATGCCTTGTGTGTAAACTGAATTTATCTGCAACGTCTAAACTCACACAAAATAAACTATCTTTGCACAAGATTTTTGTACCATTTTTTTGAATGATGGATATACAAGAACTCAATAATAGTAAAAAATATTTTTTTATTAAGAACATGGATAGACATATTGATATTGGGTATATAAAGCTAATCCTTCAAAAAAAATCAACTTCCAGTGTAGTATGGGTACATGAGACCATGAACCAGTATTTTAACAATACCTGATTCCCCACAGTAATTCCAAGCCCTGGATACACTGAGCTATTCTTAAAATTTTTTTGGTGTTTCATAACTAAAATTCTAATATTTAATGATAAAGCACTCCAATTTATTTCTGCAGGCGACATTGACATTATAGACAATTATGGCAGCGATCAAGCCAGTCAGAATGACCATCCAAGTCAATACAGCATCTGCTTTTGCATATTACTGCTGCCCTTAAAGCTCATCTTACTGCACTGAAACAGTATGCCATTGCATTGGTGTACTTAAATATGATCAATAGTTCTCCCAAAAACTGATCTCCTCAGTGTATCTAGGCCTTAGAAATTAGTGAGATAACTTTGTGCTCCTTGACATGCTTTCTATTTGTAAAGACTGTCAGACAGGTTTACCCAAAAAGCTCCAGGCAGTGATAAAGTGCATGTCTTTACCTGTCAAGGCTACCCCTCCGTATCACTCCCCTGCCCTGCTCCCTCAAACAGGTATAAACTCACCAAACCATAGAGGCTTGCTACAGTTCAGTGCTTACTGCAATTCAGAGCTTCTGTGTATCATCGGACCTACCAAGTCTAATCACTCAGGAGGCTGTTTTCAGGGTTCTTAGCATCCACATCTCCCCAGTAAGGCAAGATAAAGGGCAAGTCAGCCACTCGACTCTCCAGCAGTTTCCACAGGTGCTCGGCCACAAACTGGTTGCCTTTCGCAGAGAGGTGCAGGCCGTCAGAGAGATAGACTGTGAAATCCTGGGAGAAGAGAATTAGATAGTATGCTGCTTAATATAACAAGCCTTTTATACTGTAGCTGGCTTTAGAGTGATCCACATGGAAACGAGTTGATAGGTGTGAAAAATGGATGCTTAAAGCTTCCACCTGCTTTGTCACATTACCATATTTCATAAGCATACTGGCTCAGTTTTGCACTATTTAAGCCTTGTTTTTAAGGACGCATGATGATTTTAGAATCATAACAGGTAGACAACTGTATTTCAGATCAGCATCAATGCTTTGATTTGACTGATAATTAAAGCGGATATTTGATCATGCATATATTGTATTCCAGAGGAGCAGAACGTTTGTGAGGGCAAGTTGCTCTACTAACGTATCTGTTTTATTCGTTAATCATCTGTAAATGTTACATTTCTCTGCAATACTAATGCTAGATTTAGTGCTAATTTCTAAATTTTCTATATTTATTTGTAATAGAATCAGCATTGACAGACACATATTTAAAATAATGACATCAGTCCAGAATTATCATATCGGTTCGTCCCTATTTGGTCTATTTCCTCTGTACTTTTTTGTGCCGTGTGGTCCAATTAATCAGTAAGCATGTGTGTAGCACCTGTCCATCCTTCTGCATCAGAGACCAGAGGTCCAACACGTCCACTCCACACTGGCCTGCAGTCTGCACACACGCCTGAGCATACTGACCAGTCACAGAGTTCAGACGGTTTAAAGAGCAGCCTGAAGAAGGTGAAGTAAAGAACACTATATTTCTATGATAAAAGTACACACACATGGTTTTCTTCAAGGTATTTAAAGTTCAACACCTCTTTTCAGTGCAGCAATGTGGCAAACAATGCAATACTTTCAAAAATGTATTTGAATAAGCACAAGGTTGACACTGTATTTTGCTAACATTCTTAAAAATACCGTTGCCAAATAGGGGTTTTCTGCATCAACTCCATAGAAAAACCACTTTTACTTCCCTAAAGAACTTTTCAATGGATGATTCATTATAAAACAATTCAGGCAAAATGAGATGTGTGTGAATAACCTTCAAGGTTCGACCTTCTACACAATGTAAAGGTTCTATATCATTTTAAGGTTTTACCTGGAACTGAATCACCAAACCAAGGACCACAAGAATCTTTGTTTTTTAAGAGTCTATAGACAGGTCAATGCTAATTGGACTTGGGTGGGCAAAGACGCACCCATTAGCTCCTACACACGTCACCATAAAGTATAATCCATTCTGCATGAGTTATAATCCATTCGGCATGATGAATGTCAGTCTATGTTGTATTTCTTCATTTCAATGCTAATCCTCTGTTCAGAACATGTAGAAGGAGGTCATGTTTAAAAATACTTATCGAGAGAAAATATTCTCAACATATGTTATTTTCCTTTATGTTGTTTTCTTAAGGTCTAAACCATGTTCATTGTAGAGTTTAAGCAAAAGGCAGAAAGATGAAACTGGTCTCACCTTGCCCCCTCACTCCTTTGTTTGTATTGAAATTACCCTTTGTCTCACGACCTTAAGATGATAATCACTGCCCCCCCTCATCTCTACCCCCTACATCTCTATTCGTATTCTCCTTCTACAACCCCTCCTTATCTCTCCTCAAACTCCTTTTCCTTCCTCCCCCTTAGTTTTCAATGTATATAAGGTCCTTCCAAAATATTCATGTCAGACTGGTGACACACTGAGGACCAAGCTGTGCCTGTGGATGATTGTCTGCATGCATGTGAATAAGACTAGACTCCTGATACTGCTGATTGACTGTTGATCGACCACGCTGTACCCATACTCTGTATGTGGAAATACAGTCAACAGTCAACGCCGAAGCTCCAGTCTCCTGACTCTTCCTGCCAAATTTCTAACATTAGAAACTTATTTGTTTGATATTTAAAGAGTTTTGTAAGGATGAAAAAAATCTAGAAATCAGATGCATTAACTGTAAAAACAAAACCTAAATATTTTCTGTGTTCAATCCAATAAACACTTTAATTTTATTTTTTGCCATAGTATCATTTTGTAGCATTGTTATACTACAGTTGGTATCCACTTTGACATCAGAATTCTGGCACTGTGACAGCCCTACAAACATGACCACGCATGAAAGAAGGTGAAACAGACCTTTCAGGATGCACTCCTTCTCCCAAGATGCCTCATGAAGAGGTGGAGGGGTGATGAAGATAACCTTGTCATTAGGTACTCCAGCCGAGGCCAGGTATTTCACCATGTCTTTCAAGTTCTGTGTGAATTCCTCGCAGGGAACATACTGCTGTGGGTTCTTGTCTGAAGGAAGAGAGAAAACTGGGTTAAATGGCTTTACACAGTAATTCCTAACATTTTTTTACAAGTAACTGTCAAAGTCTCTTGCCTTCCAGGGAACAGTCATTGGCACCGAAGAATATGGTTACTGCTACAGGAGGGTTAGAGACTGTGGGTGGGAGGATGCGGGGAAGAACCACTTTAGCCCACCGTGTGTTGTATCCTGACAGACCCCTGTTCACCACATCGCATTTTCTGACAAAAAGCAAAGAGGCTGAAATCAGTTTCCTACTCACTAACCTCTTGTTCGAACTTTCCCGGTCCATCTTAAACGGTGCAGTAGTTACATTCTTTCACCGCGGTGTCAGATTCTAACTTCTGCACCATTTAAGGTGGAACGGAAAAATTCGAACAAGAAGCTGGCGAATAAGAAACTGACTTCAGCTTCGTCAAAAAGCAGAGATATAAGAGTAGAGGCTAACAGTAGGTATCGTCGCACAAAAAGTAAAACAGTCTGTGAAAATGTGCTGACACGGGAGGAGACGCTACTCACCTCGCTAGCTTGTTTGCTATTTCAGAGCCCCATCCATTCAGCTGAAAAGAAAACTGAAACATACAAAACATCGCACTTTAACGGCGAAACCTACTGTGGGCTCATGAAAATCGGTGCTCACTCTACCTAAGTTACCTACCTGTGTGATGGAGTCTCCGAAGAGAATGACCTGAGGCCAAATAATACTCTTAATTTTAGACATTGTGAAAATAAAAGTACAGAATATGTTCAAAGTCTTCTTCTCTATTTCACGACTGAGCAGGCAGCTCAGTTTAAGCTCTCTATCGCCCCCTACTGTAAGGAGGTCAGCGAGAGTTAGAAAACAGTTTTAAAGGAGGATTTTGTGAAAATAATCTCCACAATAACACGCAGTTCATTCACTTCAGACTGACCGGCACGTCGTCTGTTTCACTTCTGTTTTACAGTATAAGGAGTTTAAACCTGCAGGATTAAAGTCTAATCGCGTTAAAGGGAAAGTCCACTGGTTTTTATTTCTGCCTAATTCAGTGGATGAGCACTACTTCTCCGCCATGAAAGGATTTATAAAACCTTACGTCCAAAAACAGTGTTTAAACATCAACATATTCATAACCAGCTCTATACGGGCCCACCAAAGGACACTGGGGAAAATGACACCGTGGACCACATCTCAGGATAATTATATTGAGATAATTTTCTCAGGATAATTTTCTGAACGTCTTTTTTGACACAGGTTATTCTCTAATACTTCCTAAAATCTTCGTCCAAAACAGGCTGTTGGGTTTTAAAACACGTTTCAAATGGTGCTCTGATGTAATATAACATTTTCTGTTGGCGAGCACTGAAACACTGTCTTGAGACTGAGTTCAAAATAAAGTGCTAAATAGTGGTCAGTTTCCATTAGAACAGGTCACGGATACACAATTTACAGCACCCCTGACAAATGGACTGTGGGCTTGGGAATATATTAATGAGTGGAATGCTGCCTGAATAGCATACTGGTGCCACCTACTGGGTGCTTAAGTTTTCCCTATATATCTCGAGATATTTATCTCAGGATAATTTTCTCGAGATAATTATCACAAGATAATTAATTTGAGGGGAAAAAAATCTCAGGTCAGACAGGAATTTTTTATCCATTAGAAAAATCCATGTCCTTTCTTGGAATCCATAAACTCAATAACAGGTTAATGTGATTAGCTTTTAGAGGCATTAAACTATTCGCATGTTTGGTTTGCCATGAACTATTAGGTTTCTCTAGAACAGAGCATTTTACATCAAACCGTTCTGAATGACCCTGAACTAGAGATGGTGCTTCGATACTGATGTATCGATACTTTTGATCCTGACATTCTTTTTTGCGACTCGTTACTCACATTGCGATGTCGATACCATGTGTTTTCTTTAGGCATTAAACTGAATATACATTAGTAACTTATAGTGAAAAAGTAAAAAAAAAGTTATCATAGCGTAGGATAGGAACTGTTTTTCCTTCCGCCCACTCCCTCTGCTTTTTTACTGGTTTTCACTGCTGAAATCACAGACCTTTTAAAAATATCAGTATCGATACTGGTATCAGATATTAGCCTTGGTATTACTTGGTATTGGATCAAAAAGAAAACCAGTGGTATCACCCGTCTCTGAGTGATTTAATCATAATCATTTAATCATGTTTAAAGTAATCCAGCAAAATTTGTTTATTTTCTATTTTCAAACTGCAGTTGTGAACCTTTTTTGCAGTTAATCAACCCTTGAAAACTTTCAGCATAGTGACTCGTTGCGACTCCTGAACGACTCGTCCTTTTGAACCGAACCGATACACAGAGTAAACTGAATCAAACTTTTTGTTGCATGCACGCAACGTTTATGTCCGTGTAAAAGGCTGAATACTTCTCGTAAACAATAATATTTAAAATCATTCATATTAAAATAGAATAACATGTGTGTATTAATGTTATTAATGTTAATTTAATCTTTCCCAGTTGAGCCGTGTGCAGGTTCAGTATTCAGTGAGATTAAGCGGCCGCGGCCCCTTTAAGCGCTGCTGGGTGGAGCCGTAAAGGAAGTGAAGTGTCACCGCAAGTCTCGCCAAAACACCGAGCTGTGGAGTCGCCGCTGTAGTGACCTGCCGCCCCTCAGTCCAGCTCTAAAGTGACACACAGCACGCTGAGCTCGGAGGTAACGGCCATGCTGTGGCGCTTTGTCGTCTCTGTGTTGAAAACCGGCGCCAGAAACGGAGCTTTGTGCGAGTGAATAACTGAAGCTGGCGGTGGGGTTACGGCCGTGGGTGGGGCCATGTGTTTATCCTAGCAACGGCTTTCCGTTACTTCCACCGAAAAGTTTTTCATTAACAGAGTTGGGGGCAGCGGGCTCTGTAGCAAAGAGAGAGGAAGAAAGAGAGAAAGAGAGGGAGCAAGGGAAATAGAGTCCTGCGAAGTTGCTAAAAGTTTTACTGTCGTTTCAGGAGGGTGTCGGCACGTTTCGTTTTCGAGGCTGCGGTCGCCCTTTTCACACTAAAGTTCATTAGTTATTAAAGGGGCACTCCGGCTAAAATGAAAAATTGAAACCATCGCCACATCTGTTGTAAACATGCCTATTCGCCTCCTGTAGTGGTGCCGCAGTAATCTATACAGCAGGATTTTCCGGTTTAAAGAGTAGGAAAACCCCTTTGTGATGATGTGTTTTGAAGGTAGGAGGGATTTTCGCAGAGCAACAAGCACTTTGGGAAATACTTCAGTGCAGGCTGTTTTATTTTTATCATTTTTTTCTGTAGCTGGCTAATGGAGAAGGAAGCCAGATAACTAACAATACCACTAGAAAGCAAAATTTAATGTCTGTATTTCTTCACCTCTACAGTCAGGATGTACTGAGGGGTGTTTCTCAATGGTTGTGATATATTTGCGTAATGCATGCTGTGTATTATAGTTAGAGAGCAGTGAGGAAATAAATAGGACAATTACATAACATTCTGTCCAACCAATGAGGTTGAGGAAATATAATGCTAGAAATGTACATAATCTACTAAATTACTTTCCAGCCAAAACTTGTACCCCATGATCGCCTGTGTTTTGCACAGGGTGCACTTTAGCAACAAAAAATGAACACTTATGCTCTTCATTTTTGGATTTGTGAATGGACAGCTCCATATAGTTTTGGCAGATTTGGAGAAGCCTAGGAGTTATAACATTTTTCCAGTTTTAAGCCTCCAGTTCTAACAGTTGGACAGACTTCATGCCATTTCTGTAATGTTAGTACAGAAAATGTGTTTATTTATTTACCTTATATGTATTGTATTGCTCTGTACATTATGCTATCACAATATAATTACAACACATTGGTAATGCTCTTTAAACTCCCTGCAAATTGTGTTGGGATGTAAGTTGACCGTCTGTAACAGTGAGGAGAAACAAAGACTGAAAAATGATCTGTTTATCTGATGACTCAGGCCATGTTCAGGAGTCTCCTTTCACAAGTCGTTCAACTGCCTTTAGGTCCTGCCATCTGCTGGAAAGCTGGAGGCCTGGAGTGCCGGCGTCATGGTGAAGAATGTTCCGCAAGGTCAAGAAGCGCCACAGCAGCAGCAGCTCCCAAAGCAGTGAGATCAGTACCAAGAGCAAGGTGAGCTCTACAGTGTGACAGCATTTGGAGAGAGCAAATTAAAAGGTAGAATCAACCACTTTTTCCCTTTGCATAAAGAGATTAACCTTTACCCTCACCTTGTCAAGTCTGTAGATTCCAGTCTGGGAGGTCTGTCCAGGTCCAGCACAGTCGCCAGCCTCGATACAGACTCCACCAAGAGCTCAGGTTAGCTTCATACATTCCTCATGAACAACTCTGTGTTCAGCAATTTAAAAAATTCATAACCAAGTAACATCTTCTGCACGTTGCACCTGTAGGTAACAGTGCATCTGAAACTTGTGCTGAGTTCAGAGTGAAATATGTGGGAGCTATTGAGAAGCTGCAGTTTGAGATGAGCAAGACCCTCCAGGAGCCTCTGGACCTGATCAGCTATATTGATGCAGCTCAGGTAATGGTTGGTCGCTTGCTGCTTGCTTGGTTTTGACGTACCCTTAGTTGCATAATAAGAGTCTAAATTCAGTGTTTCATCCCCACATTGAAACAGTTTGAACAGTACAAACAGAATCCCTGAACAGAAAATGTTTTGACCATTTTTTTGAGGAATCTCCGTTGCATTCTAAGCCAACTTCTAACCAGTAACATCACAGTCATTGGCCATGTTTAATTCTTGGAAACATCTGTTAAATTCTCTCCAAAGCAAGACGGAAAGTTGCCGTTTGTGCCTGGAGAAGAGGAGATGATCCTGGGAGTGTCCAAGTATGGAGTCAAGGTGGCGTCTTTGGACCAATGTGTGAGTCTCATTATAACACTGTTCATTCAGGTTTGTCATGCTAAAGCAAGCTTCACTTGAACTATGGGGAAGTTTTCAGTTTACCACATTGAAGTCCCCTCACAAAACATTCAGGTCTAACTGCAACTGCTCAAACACATTACATACTTTTTTAGTGTGTATTATATATCGATGCTGTTGGAACAAAACATTGTATCTCCAAAAAAGTAATTTTAGAAGAAAATACTTTCTTAACTTTCAGTGTAAGTTCATGTACTTTGTTCTAAGTCTTTTTGGACCATTTCTGTTGGTCCATTTGTAACGAAATTTTGACGCAATAGAAACAGTTGGCATTTTTAAATTATGTAAAAAAAAAAAATTAAAAAGTCAAAAATGAAGTTTTGTTCTGACAGCGACAGTATACACTCCCCAAGCACTTTATTAGGAATACTTATACACCTACCCATTTATGCAATTATGTAATCAGCTAATCATGTGGCAGCAATGCAGTGCATAAAATGATGCAGGTACAGTTTCAGGTAATGTTCATATCAATGATCAGAATAGGGAAAAAATGTGATCTCAGTGTTTTCACCATGGCATGATTGTTGGTTTCTATCACTGGCTGGTGGATGTGGTGTAATGGTGTGACAATGTTTTCTTGGCACACTGTTAATTCTATTACACTGAAGTGCAGAGTTGATTTTCTTTCTATTTATTTTATTTCTATTTTATTTTCTATTTTATTTTACATAAAACCGAATAAAATGTAATTCACAAAAAATTTAATAAATAATAAAATGGATGATTGCTTTTTTGGAGCAGTTCTAATCGCGCATCCTTAATCCTAAATTTCAAATTTCACCACATTTTTATTTTCAGAGTGCCATATTTTACTAATCCCAAACCAAACCAACATTTAGGATATTTAATATAATATTTCAAAAACATGAATGCATACTATATTAAATATTATCATAATCAACTGTAATTTAAACTAACATACCAAATCAAGTTAGTTGAGTTATGGCATGCATTTTTTTGCACACTTAATGTGGATTTATGTGTACACTTGTTTGTTTTGTGCTACAATTGGACTTCCTATCCAATGCTGCTGTCTTATCCCATCAGGATGTGTTGCACCGCCACCCCCTCTACCTGATCGTACGCATGCTGTGCTATGACGACGGTCTGGGTGCTGGGAAGAACCTGCTGGCACTCAACACCACTGACGTCAAGCAGCAGGAGTGCAGCATCTGGGTCTACCAGTGCAGCAGCGCGGTGAGCATTTATACTAGACCCTTTAGTTCACCAGGGGGCTAAGCTCTCAACACTGTTGTGTTTTTACCCTGTTTTAACCTGCTTGATGGTGTGGAGGACTATTAGTTCCTTTATTCAGGGGTGTTAAAAGTTTGGAAATCACAAGAATATGCAGTGCATGGGGTCTACAGAGCTGAGCCTAAGGACCGCCAGTTCAGATCATGTTAGATTACATAATGGATATTTGATGAATGATTAATCTAGTCTTAACATTCTTTACAGTGGCTTATTAATTTCACATTACAGCAGTGAAAGAGACAAATATAGAGATCACACAGGTTTTTGCACGTATTGATGGTTCATTGTTGCCTGTGTTTGTATTTGCTTTATCTTAGAGAGTCTGTGTTTCCAATAATATAAATAATATAAAACATTTAAATTGATTTTAATATGATGTTTGTACTCTATGATGTTTGTAGAAAGCAGAAAAAAGACATTTATAGATGTGTCCAGAATGATGAATGGTGCTATAGATGATAGTAAATGATACAGAAAGCCCTATAGCATCACACCTCACATTAGATAACTTGACAATAAATGATTAGAAATAGATAATTACAGTGTATAATTTCTTTGGGTCTCTAAGATTTCAATAAAGGTATCTTTTTTTCCCAAATTTCATTTTTTTTTAATCATTTGAACACATCAGCTGCCCTTTACATTGTGTGAAACTCTCATGACGAATGGACCAATAGAAATGTTCCAAAATAGTGTGGAATAACATTTCTTTATATTAACGTACATTGAAAGTTAAAGTTTTTGCTTTTTCCTGTAACTATTTTGAAGATACTTTATTTTTTCGACAGCAACGCTATGTAAGTAACTAAATAACAAACGTTTTGAAGGCTATTATAGTGAATTACAGTATTAACCAATGTATGTCAAACTCTTACATTTTCTGTCCTACAGGAACAAGCCCAGGCCATCTGTAAAGTGCTGTCAGCGTCCTTCGACTGTGCCCTGTCTTCAGAGAAATCCTGAGGCCCTACACTGTTTTTTTTTTTGTCTCTCGCTGCGTTTTTTTCTCTCTTTTTTAAGGCTAGGCCTCTCTCAGAGCTCAACAGATGAGCAACATGCCGTCCCTCAGGCTCTAGAAGCCCTGGCTAATGTTTACGATATTGGTAGAAGTTGCCTTTTCCACACTGACCTGAGGTCAAGATCAGGTACAACTGCTTCAAGATCAGTATAGAAGGGCAACCTCTACAGGGAGCAGTGTTTACATCATACATTATTTCATCTTATTTAGCATCCTCTGCTCCTAGCATCGCTGCCTCCATGACCCAAAGCTCTGCCTACCAAGTTTGGGCGGTCTCTATTTTTGTAACGTAATTTAATCTTATTTAATGTAAATATACATTGAGCTCAGTGCACAGTTGCTGCCATGGCCCAGTAACTCTGCGGTTCCTGAGCACGCATGGGATTAATGCTATCAGTGGTACAGTAATTACAGTTAGTACAGAGGAGCACAAGGATACGTTCATCAAAAATGCTGTAAATTGAAGTTCTTTATAGCACTGTCTGACATTCAGTGCTGTTTGGAGCACACCCCCTTGCTGACCTCCCCCACTCTCCTGGTCTAGATGGGATCGGGCCGGTTGACACGGTACAATAAAATCAAACTTTTAATTGATCAGAATTTAGTGGAATTTACTTGTTTTTTTTGTTTTTTGTTTTTTTTTTAATTCTTGCCACTATAGTTCTATATATATATATATATACACACACACATATATACACCAACCAGCCACTCATTAAAACCTACTCTTATCAATCAACTCAGTTTACCATATCAGTGCACTTTGTAGTTCTACAATTACAGACTGTAGTCTTGCTGTTGCTCTGTATACTTTGTTAGCCCCCCTTTTACCCTGTTTTTCAATGTTCAGGACCCCCAGGACCACCACGGAGCAGGTATTGGTTGAGTGGTGGATCATTCTCAGCACTACACTGACATGCACCACTGACATGGTGGTGGTAGTGTTAGTGTGTGTTGTGCTGGTATGAGTGGATCAGACACAGCAGTGACTTTACATCAGCAAGGTAGATGTGTCTAATAGGGTGGATGTGTCTGATCCACTCACACCAGCGCAACATATAATTGGGGATGCAACTATTCCACAGACATGTATCGGGGTTCTGGAAGACGACGTGTTACTAATGCCAAAAAACGTATTATTCATTGCACAATTAACACTATAACTGGTAGTGGGCGATATACTGGTTGAAATTCTTCTTAGGGTATTAGTTTTGTCATTAGTGTTATACCAATATGCACATAAATGCAGGTAATGCAGCCCATCTGTCCTAGCTAGTGTAAAATAAGTTCAGAAATACTAACAGATGTGCTGGTATGCTAAAAGCACTCAAATGGGAAGCTTTTAGCTGTGCTTCACTTGTAATTTTAGGCGAAATTTCCTTGTGTAATGCACTGATGCACTAAGCTTCCAGCGGTGCATAATACATGATCCCTGAGTAGTTATTAGTTCAGTGGCAACCAGTGTCCTCCACTAGATGGTGATCTTCTTATATTTTAGGCATAGTTACGAGAGACATTGAAATAATATGGAAAAGTGAAAACAGTGCTTAAATATATTATACTGTCTGTAATCTTCCAGAAATCCATGAGCCAAGACTTCCTACATGAATAATTTATGCAGTACTTAAAAAAATAGGGGATAAAAAAGAAGTCAAGTTAGCAAGGAAAAAGTAAGAACACTACATCTGGGTTTGGTTTACTTCCAGTTTTTCCATTTATTTGTACAGTATTAGAGTCAACAGAATGACACAGTAAATAAGAGGGAATCAAGGTGGATTGTTTTCCTTGGTTAGAGGTGTCTTCTGGAGCTCTACACATAAACACCTAACCTGGGTTGATACATGACAATGAAGCAGATGTTTTATCAGTTCAGTTTTCTGTTTACAATTAAATATACACATATAAAGTCTTCAGTTATTTACAGGTCCAGATAAACAGTTCCTATTTATTTCCAGTGAGTTAAAAGGCAGAGGAATATTCTAGAAGGTAATTACAAGTTTCCTCTTGCTGCTAAAGTTACAGGTCACTGTGAATCAAGCTCAACAGAGACTAGACTTTTTTTTTTTTTAATTAAACATTATATAACACATTCTATAGAGTTGCTCTGCAACCAAACCAAGAAGTCCATCACATAAAACATATTCCTGTACAATATTACATCTGCATTATCCACTTATGAGCAAGGTGTGTGTTGCACTGTTACTGGCTATGAGGAATGGTTTTGGCTTTGCCTTCAAATGGTTACAGAGAAATCAAGAGAGAGGGGTGTTGGTCCTGTCCTATACAACCTAAAACTTGGGCAGACATGAACATTACTCTAAAAATAAGCCTTAAAAAATTCATGGAAAGCTGCTGGGTTTAGTATGGCTACCGGACATATTAAGATCATGCTAGCTGACGCTATTATGTCAAAAGGAATGAACTGAATGCCAGAATAAATGGTTTAGTCCAGTGTATTTGCCATTTCCAATACACATTATGACTCCATAAGGGGAAACCACTATCTGTTCTCTTGCCATGAACAGTGAAAACCTGGAGGAAAAAGCAGGATGCCTAGTGAGTCCAGACTGAGCATAAACAGGAAAACAGTAGGTCGGGGGCATTGCAGTGACCAGTCGTACAAACTACTTACTCTTAAAGCCAAGGCTCTTGCAAGACTCCTTCATTTTTCATGTTGTGTTTTGAATAATTCCATATCGTCACAGCCATTACTCCCCTGTGGATTAAGCAGCAGATCTGATATTTGATGACATCACATTCTCACACACACCGTCATAACAAAACCTCATATCTTTGAAATGATAACTTTATAGAAGAAGGTGAAAATGTTCTTAACTTTTAATTTACGTTCATGGAACGACTATAACTCCAAGTAATTTTGGAATATGTTTGGACAACGTAAAGAACAGCCAGCTCTTTCAAATGGTGCACAAAATTGAAAAATTGAGTTTTTGATATGACGATTATGATATATACGCACAAACATTCTTCTGTCTGCCCCTTTCTTCCTCACACAAATACAGTTTCTCTTCTTGCCCCTTTCTCTCACACATACAGGCATGTAATGCAGGGCCAAGGCTCTCCCAGGTGTGAAGAGAGGAAGTTCTATTTATATGTTCCAAAATGGGCCACTGAGTGTAGAAATGGGGACAGTGGAGCGCCCCCTAGGGGAGGCAGCGCCAGGGCTATCCTCCTGGGTTAGCACCAAACGGTCTTTCAAAGTCAAGCCACATCCATTTCTTCTCCGTTCATGCCACACATGGAATGCAAATTAACAGGACTGGATTTGCTGATATGCAGATAGGTACAAATGGCACTATAATAAAACAGCCTTCTTCTGTTCCACTGCATCTAGAAGCTCTAAAGATATGAACGATGCACTTTTTCTGAACAGAGCCTTCATCTCCACCAATGTTGTCCTCTCTTGCACTGTGCAGGAGAGATGCAGTCAAAAGTGCATTAGCTGTGTCAAAACCACTGACTACAATCATTTTTTTTCTGGTCAACAAAAGAAAAAAGGGTCAAAAAGGCTTCCACAGTCTTCAAGGACTGATACTACTAGTTATAAAGACATTCAGGAATGAGAAGCATCAAAAGCAGTTTGCACGAGTTGATCCAACAAGACGTCCCAGGGCTGGCTGGTGAAAGCTGCAGGTCCAGGAAGAGTCGTGTAGGCACAAGCTTTATGATGGTGATGATGATGATGATGACGATGATGAGGACAATCAATAAGCCCAAGCATGTAGATGTGGGAGGTGATCCGGTCAGCCTGGGTAAGCGTTGCCGTCAATCCACCATAAAGTGTACAAACGTAACGGGGAAGGCGCCCCTCCTCATTGGTTCTCCCTCTATATGGCCAAGCTAGAAGAAAACCAAAAGAATATAAATCATTATGCATTATTTTTAAACCCTTGGTCACCAACTCTCCTCCTGGACATCTCCTTTCCTTCAGAGTCTAGCTCTAACCTGCATCTAACATGCTTCCCCCAATATACCAAACACTAAAGCATCTGATCCAGCCATTTGAGGACTTCTGAAGAAGTTAATTAGCTGGAGCAGGTGTGGCAGGTTGTCGTTGGAACTAGATTTTGCAGGAAGGTGGATCTACAGGACCAGGCTTGGTGGCCATTGCTGTACACGATTAAAGCAACAGTTTATGCAAACTGCATGCTTAAAACATACCTCAAACTGCACTCCAAAATGTCTGTCTAATTCAGCCTTTGAGATGTAAACAAAGTCATTCAGAGTGGTTCCATGCGAAATGAATCATTGTAGAGAAAATTACCGCGTCAGATGTCTGTACAGTGGTGGTAATGGGAACCAGGGGGATGCAATGTCTACAATGCAAATGTAGACATTTTATTTGCTATTCAAAATAAGTAGTCAACCTACACATGTCTTCTGGGTGTTTATGTAGTGTTTATAATGATAAGTGTTCTTTGGGGATTTTGCCTTTGTATGAACCTCTCCACCATAATTGTATTTAAGTAAATACGTTTTAGGCCGACATCAGGCAGTTTATTCAAAACCAGTTAATGTAATAACTTTCTGTGAGGCATTAAACTCTTCAGACGTCTGGTTCCTATCACCACCACTGTGAACAATTCTGACTCAAACTTTCTCTAGGATGGAGCATTTCACATCAAACCACTCTCAATGACTTACATACATACATTACATAGTAAAAACAGGTCTGGCACCTATAGTGGCTACTGAATTTTGTACATACTTTTGTCCATTTTTATAGATACAAGCATATCATACAATTTCAATCACTGCATAAGAAAGTCTGTTTAATGTTATTTAACAATTTGACATGGTTTGATGCAGATGTGTGAAGATTCAGGGTTACATGATGCTCAATGGTGTCCGTAAGCTTCTATTACATGTTAAGTACATCATCCTCGTAGCTCAACTGCAGAACTGAAGAAGCAAACTTCAGACACCAAACATGTTTTGACTGACTGACTAAATCTGTGGTAAAGGAAAAGTTGTTTACATCTGATTTTTGGCCAAACTGTTCATTCAAACAAAATAAATAATAAAATTAACTTTTGAAAGTGTATAACTTTCTTCAGCGTTGTCCTTCAACAACAGACTGACGCTCGTACAAAGTCAGCGCACAAACAACTTAGCTTTGTGGCGTGTGCACTGGAAACAAATGACCTCTTGTTCACTTCCTGTACTAAAGATGTGCGCAGCCACCACTGCTGATAAACAAAACAAGCATGCGTGGTGGAAACATGTTCCTCGGAGTCGCCGAAGCGCATCTGTAAGTAAATGCCACTAAAGTCTCGTTGATGGAGAGCTGGAGATTTGGCTCCATTGAGGGCTAATGACTAAATACAGTCAGTGGAAAGGGAGAATGGATCTGGGAGGAAATCGAGCAGCAGCTGGCCTGCATTCATAACAAGAAAGACTGTGGGGGAAGAATGAGGTCATCACATATGTCCGAGCAGCCATGGTAACCAGAACTTGATAAAACAACTCTGTCTCTTTCTCTCCCTGTTCCGAATCATGACCTTGGCTGTCCTTCCTACTTACTTACAAAGCCAGCTTCTTCCCATCACACAGAGGACAAACACTCACCCACCACTCCTGGTCTTCCTCTCCATCCACCACTATCACCTCACCCTCTGTGAACGTCAGCTCGTCTGGGTTATCGGCCACGCAGTTGTAGATGGCCTTCACCCGCTTCGGCCTCTGCTTCTGACGCACACACACATTTACACAGGACGTGTCAGACAGTTTTGCAATGTAAGCACTGCATCTGTTTTCATCTTGAAATGTAAGACTGGAAGTTAAGATCCCAACAAGATATTTAGTTTTTCCGAACTGATCATTAGAACAGGACAAATGATCCAGCTTCATCCATTATCCAGCTTTTATATGGCTGTGTCTTAAAGAAGGTAAGGTTCTTATTCACTTCACCACTGGCTGTGCATCCAGGGAATGCAAATAAATGAATGCTGTTCCTGCTAGCTCAGTTATACTTGCTCGGTTAGCTTTCGCTCGTCATTAGCTTTCTCAGACTTGAACAGAGCAAAGGAGACCAGGAGAAAACACAGGTTTGTTAAAGCCGTGGGGGTGGGACAGTCCACATCAGCTATGTGATTGGTGAGGGTGTTGCTTCTGTAAGCACTAACTAAAATTAAAAACTGTTTACAGTTTACATCAAAAGAGGAGAATGTTGGCAAAATTCATGGGCCATTTATTGAGCATTGTAAAGTTATTCACAGGACATACTTTGCACGTTTATAGTGTGTGCACACAAGAGCCAGATTCACCTACTAAGAAGGAAAACACAGATTTAGCAGATTTAGGGGCTTTAAATGTTGTAGATAATGCTGCAAAAACATCTTGGTGATAACTACTGGTTGAGAACTACTACAGAGACACATTAGTACCATTCCATTAGTTATTAGTTAGGAAGGTCGCTGGTTTGATCCCCTGAGCCGACAGGACATGACTGAAGTGCCTTTGAGCAAGGCACCTAACCCCCAACTGCTCCCCGGGCGCCATAGATTGGGCTGACCACTGCTCTGGGCAGGTGTGCTCACTGTTCCCTAGTGTGTGTGTTCATTAGTGTGCATGTATGTGGGTGTTTCGAACACGAATGGGTCAAATGCGGAGGTCTAATTGATCTGTGTGCAAACACAGTTGGCCAATGATTCTGAGTAATCTATGTACCAACGTATCATCACTGTCTGAACAATCTCTTATATCTCCATTTCTGTTATTCTTTTTTACAGTGTCCTTTACATTGCATGAAATTTTTAGAATGAGTAGATCAATATAAACACTCCAAAATTGGTTGGAAAAAAAAAAAAGATTAATTCATGTTAAAAGTCAGGAGGGTTTTTACCCTCTCCTGCAAATTTACCAACTTGGAGATACAAGGTTTTGTTCAGAGAGCGACAATATGCTACTTCTGAACAGCTGCCTCACACTGCCTTCACACGGAATGCAGTATGCACTGCGCTCGTTGCTCACGTTGGGGGAAGCTGCTTCCACACCACGCACATGCGTAGCTGGTTGGGTGTGAAAGTACATGTCACTCTCTGAAAAAGCTAGCCTTTTGTCCATGTTGGAGGGAACTACCAAACACACACACTGCTCTTGTACTGGCCGTGCTGAGTCTTGGCCAAAAGTTGGAAACATCTGAACATGCGTGACTCTACATGTCTCTGCATCCCGTTTAACATAATGTGCACAATGTGCTTGAAAGCGCAGTGGTCAATTTTCTGCATTCAGTGTTAAAGCAGCTTCAGAGTTCGTTTAAATAATCCATCATCCATCATAAACATTATATCTTTACAGTGTCATACATGACCAACAACCACATTCTATATTAAACTGCTACTTTCACACTTCAGTCACTTCCTCTGATGTAGTGAAACTTACTGGGTACCCTTTCCTGGAAATGTGGCCTGGAGGCAGAGACTGACCAGTCGTGTTTTGAGGGCATCCAGGAACTTCCTTTGCTGCTCATCAAAACACAGGAAATGACTTCTCAGTGAAAACAAAGCACTTCCAACATGATAACCACTCAAACAACTCAAGTCTTGAGCTATGTAAGTCTTTTAACCGTACACAGCCAATGCTAGTGCAATTAAAACATCAACTTACAGTTCAAGTTGTTTCTTTGACATCTACCTGGTCTCTCTATGGAGTCCGAGCGCGCCAGAGGGCCTTTGCTGTAGCTTTTGTCCGAGCTGCAACCAACAAACGCAAAAATAAATAAATAAACAAACAAACAAACCTTCAGTTCACAGATGCTTTGAGCTGCACAGAGGTTCCCAACTCAATACACAGCTAAATAATCCACACTCGGGGCCATGCAGGGACCATTAGCACACTATGTGCCCTACTTCTCTGCTCCTCCGGCTGTTCGTGCTTGAAAGAGAGCCTTGAATAGGAATTAATGACCCTGGCCAAGCAGCAGTTCCCTGCAGGGTTTTTCCACCTTCCTGGCATTCTATATGGGCAAAGTCACCTTTGTGCTCGATGGAGAGAGATCACTGAGGACCACAGAGAGACCTTCCCCATAAAGAGCCTCAGGGCTGATGGCAATGTACAGTCTGTTATTCTGGCTTGGTCCTATTCTGTCATTCAAAAGAGTGGGGGATACTCAACACACGGTTTATAAGAAAACCTGTATTTTTTAAGAATTTATGTTAGCCTATATAGAAAATTTAAAAATACAGATTTTTTTTGTAGTGTTGGATTTGCATTCATAATTTTGTTTTGTTGCTGATCATTTAAAGGAGAGGTTAGATTTTTCTTTATATAGAGGAAAAAGGTCTAAACTTGTGGCACATCAAGTCAGAGATACACTAGTTTAATCATAATTTAATGCTTCACATATCATCATTGTGATATCCAACAGCTTTTCTGACCACTGTGTATCAAATAAGGCATTCAGAAATATGTGTATATGTGTATGTGCATGTGTACACAGTGCACACTGACCTTGTTGTTGTACTCCTGTTGATGTTCTGGCCTGGAGGCACCTGTCCTGGTTTGGACTGCATGTTCATGGCCTCCATCACACTGGCCGTCTTAGCCACAGGAGGAGGGGGGCCGCCCGGCGCTATGACTGCAAAGATCACACCATCAGTGATGCAGCCAAGTGCCAACACAACGCAGACAAGACAGTGCACAGTGCAAAGTGTATTTCTGTTCCAAAAATATTTTGGGTTTTGATCTTCCAACTCTTAGAAGCTGCATTTACTGCCTGCAATAACAAAAGCCTGTTATAATTTTAGCTCAAAGAAAGTGGAAGAGCAGTTATTTTGAACTTGATGAAAAGCTACTGCTGTGCATACAGCGATGTTTTGTGGGAAGAAAATTACATCATCTACATTTCTGCTGTATTTGAAACACACTAAAACAAACAGAAAGAAGTCGCAAGTCCAGACTTTAACCTGTCGATGCAGAATGTAACTTCAATGTAAATGTAATTTATTGAGTATATAACGTATGTATGGAAGTCAAAGAACAGCATCTGCTGTTTTTTTTTTTTTCTACAGTCTAATCTACTGTCTACAATCTAATCTACTGTCTACAGTGTAATTTAAAAGGGAATTCTTCTGGTTTTAATTCTGCGTTAGTAAATGGTTACGATGTAAACAAAGTCATTCAGAGTGATGTGATTTGAAATGCTCTGTTCTAGAGAAACATACTGAGTCAGAATTGTTCATAGTGGTGGTGATAGGAATCCGGCATCTGAAGAGGTTAATACCTCTAAAAGCTACCTCACTGGAAGTCATTACATTAAAAGGTTATGAATACGCCTGATGCCTTAAACATTGTTTTCCAATGAGGTGTTGGCCTAAAACATGTTTTTTGAAAATTAATTCATGGCAGAGGGGTACATGCAAGACGCTGCGATGAAAACTAGTACAGATTTACCACTATTTTACCATGACCAATGGTCAATGATCAATTTTACATATAAAAACTCAGAAGACACGTGTAGGTTCACTGGTCATTTTGGATAGTGAATAAAATGGTTATGTTTGTGTTGTAGACATTGCAACCCCTGGTTCCCATCACCACCACTGTAAAGAAATCTGAGTCAGTAAGTTTCTCTACAGTGAACTACTTCACATCAAACCACTCTGAATGACTTTGTTTAGGTCTCTATGAGTGAATTAAGCTGAATTGGGTTCATGTATGTACTGTATGGCCTGGATGCTATGTTCTGAAACTCTAACGTTAAATGTATGTTAAATGATAACATACTACATCAAACTACATCAAAGGAAAATTCAGTTTTCCATGATGTGCACCCTTATGACTTGACTAATGCTGTTGCTTCATAAAGTGCAAACTCACAGGAGGTGGAAGTGACCCGCATGGGTGGAACAGGAGGGTGCATGTTGGGGGGATCGGAGGAGGACCTCTGTCTGCCTGCCAGGTCTATAGGGCCTGGCTTCCATCCTGAGGAGCCCTGAACCCCTCCACTGAGACCAGCCAACTGAGCTGAGAAGGGAGGTTGAAAAGAGAGAATGAGAAAGAGTCAGAGAGAAAAACAGAGAGAGAAACATTAGTCAGACCATGGCTCAGAAGAGGCTGCTTTTTGTTTCTCTACATGAAGAGAAAGTTCCGGAATGTGTCGTTTCTTTTTCTGGGCTTTGGCTCGGCTCCAGGCCAGCAGTGCTCCATTCGGCCTTAATTACATTAGAGTCTGTGAGGACACAATATGCACCCTGCAACTGAGGCCTGTTGTCAAGAGAGCCAAGAGCCAACAGTCATGCATCCAACAGCAAGAACCAAGCCTCTCTACAACAAATGATGGTGTTATAGCTCCTCTAACTGATGTTATTTCTATCAACTACAGCACCTATGATGGATAAAGGAGTAGCTTGGCAAAAAAATTTGATTTGCACAATTTTCCAGCCATTTGAGTGTGGGTATGATCATATCTCCAGCCTACCCCACCCACTTTACTCTGACTGGCTCCACCTAGCTCCCTAGTTTTGAAATACTTTGTGAAATATTTTTAAATTTTAATACACTGTTACAAATCTGTATTGTGAAAATGTCGAAGTATTGTGACATAATATGTTTGCCATACCTCCCAGACCTAGTTTAATATGTTGGAAAAAATAAAACAAAAAATATAAATATATAAATAGAATTTTTAAGTTATTTTTAAATCATTTTAAAAAATACTAAAAAAAACTGTGAACATAATTTCTATTTAATATTTGGTATACTATGTTGCACTAAAACGGGACTAATTCTGCTCTCTTTATAATGAAACATGCAGTTGGTCAGTGTTCTACATGAACTGAAAATGTGCATGATAAGTTCAGAAAAGCATATTGTATTGTACTGTGGCGTAATTTATCACAATATCAATACACATTGTAATACTGCCCAGCCCCATACTCATATGCCTTTGTGACCCTCCCTGCTTTCTAAATGAGTCTAAACTCCAGAGTCTGCATAGAACAGTGACCCATTATCAGCCCTACTGTCCAACTGATCCTACTGACTGCTGCCATTACGAAAGGCCAAAACTGATTCTAATCAGCACCCCGGCTTAGATATAAACCTCTCAACAATCCAAATAGGTCAGAAGCTTCACTTCAGCAGTCACCAAGGAGCTACACTGTAATTGTTAGGGGTGAAGATTCAGGGGCAGGTCAAGTGAGACTTCTGATATTTTTGAGATTATATAGAAGGGTTATTAATACAGCAGCCTGCATAATGAGAGGTTTGTCAGGTGATTATAGCTTCTGTTGAATGTGTCCTTCATCTTTCTGTGTCTTTGTCTAATGTTTTCCCCATAGCTGTCCACCGTCCTCACCATCGTCAGTGTAAAGCTGTTTAATCCTGCATTTAAAACGATCTGTGTTTGTTTCTTCAACTGACACAGCACAGTTGAAATAAAGCTGACAGATATTTCTTAGAAAACAAGGCAATTAAAAGTTTTAGATTTCTTCATTTCACCATTAATGTGCCCTGCTCTCCGAGTATACAACCCATCACACAATCTACAGTATATTCTAAGCAAATAAAAGCTGAGTAATTCAACAGTGGATACCTATATTTCTTGGGGGCAGTGGAGGGGCAGAGGAAGACAGTGGAACCCCAGTGGGGGGGCTGGTGTTCAAGATGGTCCCATACGTCTCGTTATTGACCAGGTTGGGTACGTAGCATCGCTTGTCCTTGGTCAGGCCAGCCGGGCTGGGCTGCAGCACTGAAGTGCCGGGGGTGTAACAGCTGACAGGCCGTTCGTCTCGCCGGAGGGGACTGGGCTGTGCACAGAAAGGTCAAAAGTCACAGAACCATCAACTTAAGCTTCCATAATATTAGCTTTGAATTAAAACATTGAGATTCCACCATTTTTCTTTGACTATTTTCTTCTGACCCTGTTTACACAGTCATAGACAGGAGACACAACCTAAATATATCTATTTCTTAAAGCATATATGATCTTACATGGATGCAGAAATTGAAAAAAAAGTTTGATGCTGTGTTCAGAAGCTAGTCAGCCGGTCACTAATGTCAGTGAAAGCACCAGCACAATCCATCAGTGTTTATTCCACACGCTCACCCATAGAGCTCTTCTGCCTGTGAAATTCAGCTCCTGTTGCCTTTTACACTGCAAGCATCATACAGTCTGGAGCAATTTACCCCCTTTCATTCTTAATGCATAACTACAAAGAACAGAAATTCTGCTGTGCCTGGCATTGCCTCATATTTGCATTGAACAGGAGGACAAACAACAAAGACACAAAACAGATTTCCATATAATCTAAGTAAAATGCATTTATGTGATCAAGTATGAATAAATATCATCTGGACATTATCCAGATAGGAACTGGCTAAGTGAGACTGCCAACAACCACTGAATACAGAGGGACAACTTCTCCATTCAGGACAATGTCTTTAATGGATGTGAAATACTTCAAGCATATCGGTGTGGGCCATCTTTATTACTTGCAAAAATATTTGACTATTGACAAAGTGAAAGTAAAGAATGTTTTTTTTCTTCTCCTGTAAAGTTACCATTTTGGAGATTTTTGGACAGCGACAAAATACTCAATAATTCTTGTAGTCAGTGAATAAATATTATAGCTTTAGACCAGAAACATACTTCACACAAGAATGTAAACGCAAAAAAATTAAATACTTTTAATTAAATACTATATGCTACGCATATACTTTTTCATGCATTGTTGTGTTCTAAAATGCGTCATGGCGCAATATATAATGCAACACAAGCACAAGCTGCACCTTGAGCATTGCAGCAAGGGGTGCTATAGCTTTAGATCAGCAGTTTATCGAGTCTCTTGCAGAACTGGTTTGAAATATAAATGTGTATGTATATATATTACTTCATTGCCTTTTCATTTGTTTCAGTTGTTGGACGCTGTTAGAACAAAAGTTGATCCTGTTTACAGACACTCAGATTTGTCCTGTATTGACCCCTTAACTACTAAACCCCACCACAGCAAGGATGTTGGCTTAGTACAGCAGAACCATGTGTTTGGATCGCAGGCTTTGTCATTTGCGTTCATGTTATCGCACTGAGTATGTTTCTGGCGTTAAGATTAATCATTTCAATAATAAATCTAGGCTTCCTTAGTATAAAACCCACAACACTGATAGAACCCCTCATCTTCAACTGATTACTGGGGAAGGACAGATACCTTCTCGTCCAAATCTTCATCACTTTCATCCAGATCTTCATGCTGTAGCCGCCATTCATATTCCACATGCACGTGTGCATTAAACTTGCCAGCCAGCGCCTGGTTCAGCTGCAGAACAAACCACACAGAGTTAACCGCAATACAGTACAGAGTTGCTGAAAGGTTGTCAAGTCATTAGAGCTTCTGCTGATTATGTCCTTCATCTGTCTTTGTCAATGACTTCTAGATGTAACCTCTACACAGCTTCTATAAATGGTACTTAATACAATGAACTCCGAGACTCACCAGCTCCTCACACTGCAGATGTTTGAGTCTCCTGGCAATGTCCAGCGGGGTCTCTCCTGCCTCGTTAGCTGCACATATCATTGAGTAGAGATACAGTTACACACACTGTCACACACACACACACACACACACACACACACACACCCCACATCATTAGTGCTAGAGAAGCTGGAAAGGAAGTGCTTCCTTCTCATTCTTATGCCTGGCAGCACACACAAACACATACAGAGGATTTGTGGCATCTTGTGGTCAACAGTGCTTAACAGGAAGGACAAATTCAAGGGCCTGCCCACATTTAGCCATAATCAAGGCAGGCAGGCTCTGCGAATGCACACATACACACACATACAAACACACACACGCACACATACACAAACTCAAGCAAACACAGTGTATTGTTATTTTCATGAGATTTTCAACTAACAGTTATTATTCTAGCTGAATAATATGCCTGCATCTAAATTCAACCTTAGGGAAAACCTTCTGACATGCAGGGGTCAGCACTGCCTATTGCTTCATCTCCCTGGCCACAACATTTCACATTTTCTCAACATCTTGGCCACTAAAAATGCATAGCCTGTGGCTTGAGTGGTCATTTGCTATGTTTTTTGGGGGTCATTTTGCCTTTAAACAAACCACCAGACCAGCTGAATTTTCACAAATATCCACCAATAATAACAAAATGGCACCTTTTGCCCTCCTGTATGAGGTATGAGATCCACAGCCTGTTTGGTCAGACTACATCAAAGTAACTGCATCAAAACAGATTTTATCATAACTGTTAAGACTACAATAGCAAACATGACAACAAGTGACAGCTTCAGTCACAGCAAGTTACAGCCTTTCCTTATTGCCTGCTGCAATGGCTGGGCTATTAAAATATGGCTTTGCTGCCAGTGGCAGTGCTGACAATGGAAAAATAATAGGATAATGATGATGGCTATGGAAAAAAAAGAATCAGAAAGTCGTTCTCTCAAGCACATGGTCAGCTTCCATGACAAATGCACACCACAAGTTCATTCTTTACCAGGAGAAACCAAATTACAAACACAATATTCAAAAACATGGCCTCTGAGAACTTTTAACACAAGTGCTGTTATAGTGCAATGATCTTCAGCAATAATGACCCCAACAGGTCTGGTTGGTCAAAGCCTTACGATGATGGAGGTAGGTCTGCAAGATATAGTGATAAAATTCTGCAATCTTGACATGAGGGACCCATCACAAAAAGCAACATCTGACTAGTATTTGCCACAAAAGCATGCATTTATACAAATAAAAGCATGATTATATATTATATTATATATAAAAGCATGTTTCAACAATTCTGACCACAAATTCTTAATTTTCGCCACAAGCGCAATCTGTCTACCCCTGGTCCCAAGTCTCTTAAAGTTGCAAAGTCCTCTTTGTAATTTTAAGTAGGCTAAAATGACCTTATTTACATAGGAACACAAAAATAAACAAGACTTTTTCCATATTTGGGCCAGTAAAATGTCACATTATTATCATACCTTTCATGTCTTCTAGTCACAAAGGGAACATTTAGTTCCCAAAAAGAGAGTAAAACACACACACACATACACACATCCCAGTGCCAGGCCGCCCGTTGTTCTGGCTTAGCTCCTTTGTTTGCAGCGTTCGCTAGAAGAGCATTAATTAGGGTGATTCTCATACTCAACACCAGGAACACTGCCAGCTACAGATCCACATTCTTATCACCGCATCCAGCCTTCAGCCCAGTCAAAACAGGCCTCTGCCAGGCACAGGAAAGTGAAAGGATGCAAGCAAAACTAAACAAAGCATCCGGGAAAGCTTCAGCAGAAAGACAGGACTCGCTTCTGATCTTCACAAAAAGTGAGCGAAAAGCCGTCCAACATTAAAGCCAAAAATCTGAAAAGTTTCCCCCGTACATCAAATGTACCTAATCAATCAAGACATGTTTGCTTCTTTGATTGTCCACCGGTGCAGCTAACAAGTAACGAAAATACAAAGCCAAGTTTACCAATGTGCAAAGTGTTATTTCCAGTAGCAAACTGTGATTATTCTAAGTTAGAACTTTAGTTCAGGCCTAAATGTCAAAACTTCATCAAAAACAAGAAAAAAATCCACTTCCACAAAAATGCTAATTTCTGCCAGCATCTCTATGGGATTCATAATAGTATGTTAGTGCTAAGCTAACTGTTTAAATAGATTAAATTCCACCTGAATTCTAAAGGGCTTTTTGGCCAGAGCTTCAACCAATTCTAATTCCTGCATTGCAGGACTTATTTGTGCATGGTTTAATGCCCACCACTTGGAAAAGTGCCTTGATTTGTTTACTTTTAAAAAAAAGGCAAAGAGCCTCAGAGCTGTTCATCTTATAGGCCACTAAGTTTATTAAATACAGACTACAAAATTGTTGCTAAAGCTCTTGCTCGCAGACTGGAAGCTGTGTTACCAAAATTAATCAATCCTGACCAAACAGGATTTGTGAAAAACCAATATGGTTCTGACAATATACATCGGCTTTTAAATATTGTAGATTTCGTTAACACACACAAAAAAACTTTCTGTTATTGTTTCATTAGATGCTGAAAAGGCTTTTGATCGCGTTGAATGGAACTTCCTGTTTGCTACACTTGAAAAGTTTAATTTACCCACATTTTTGTAAAATGGTTTAACATTTATACTCAGATCTGCGAGCCACAGTTTCTTCCAATGGATTAGTATTGCAAGTAATATGCGTCGCAGGTGGGACAAGACAGGGATGTCCTCTTTCTCCCCTTCTTTTTTCATTAGCGATTGAACCTTCAGCTAAAATGATTATGTTAAATACAAAAATTTCCGGTATTAGGGTAGAGCATGAAGAGCATAAAATTTCTCTTTATGCTGATGATGTACTGTTATACATAACCAAACCGGACTCATCTATTCCTGTATTATTGCAGTGTGTTTCTCAATATAGTACTTTATCTGGCTATGGGATCAATTACTCTATGACACTACCACTTAATATATCTACCACTTCATCAGCTTTGGCAAATTTTCCTTTCAGTTTAGCCATGTCAGGTTTTAATTATTTGGGCATTTTTTTGACACCAGATCTTAATAATCTATATGCCAAAAATTATTTACCTCTTGTAAACAAATTGAAGACCGACTTAGCCAACTGGTGTTCTCTCCCAATCTCTGGTAGAATAAATACCTTGAGAATGAATATTTTACCTCGTTTACTTTACTTATTTCAGTGTCTTCCTTGCTATTTACCTAGTTCATTTTGTAAAGACTTGAATGGGCACTTCTCAAGGTTTATTTGGAACAACAGAAAACCCAGAATTAAATTACTGAACTTAATGAAACGTAAAGACAAAGGGGGAGCAAGCATGCCAAACCTACAGTTTTACCACTGGTCAGCTCAGATGAAACACATTATCAGCTGGTGTGCTAACATATCTGTCTCACTCTGGGTCCACATGGAATCGAAGGCCTGCTCTCCTTTACCTATACAGTTTTTACCCTTCATACATAATGTGGAGAAATTACAAAACGTTTCTGGGTCCTTTGTCATATCCAATATGTTACTGGCCTGGAAAGAAGTAAAAAAAAAATTCAAGGTACCTAAAGGCCTTTCCTTGCTTTCTCCAATTGCATTGGAGCATTGGAGCAAACTTGGTATTTTCACAGATAAGCACCATGAGTTAAAAGGCTTGATTTCAAAGGTTTATGCCATGTTATCTGATGAATGTTTGTCCTCTTTTGCAAGTCTTAAAGATATCTGGGAAAGAGACCTTGAGGAGGCGATTGATCAGGATGTCTGGCTTTCTATCTGTTCAAATTTATACCCTAAGTGAACTCAACTTTAAGTTTATTAATTAATTTTATCTTACACCTTTGCACTTACATAGGATATTTCCAGAAAGATCTGACTTATGTTTCAAGTGTCAATTACATAAAGGTACTTTTATTCACTCTTTCTGGACCTGCGATAAAATCAAAACATTTTGAGAAGGGGTGCATTCAGTTATACAAGAAATTATTAATATAGAGTTTACATTATGCCCTAAATTATATTTACTCTATGGCCAGTTGGAAGATACACTTCACTATAATGCTAGACAGATATTTATTCTTCTGGTTTATATTGCTAAAAAATGTATTCTACTTCTCTGGTCTTCTCCTCAAGTCCCATCGCTGAATCTGTGGTTTTCTCAAATAACATCTTTACTTCCTCTTGAGAAGTTAACTTTTGATTTACACCAAAAGACAGAAAAATTTTGGCAAATATGGTTTCCTCTCTGGAATTATATTGATCATTTATCTTAATGTTGTACTTATCCAAGTGTTTGTGGTTGTATAATCATCCCTAGATTTTCCACTCATATGGTCCATCTGCGTTTCCAAATGCATCTGTATCTGTAGACTGTTACCTGACAAATGTCTTAATAAAAATATAATAAAAAAAAGATTAAATATGGACATTTAAACCTTAAAAGACATTTTTATCCAAAGCTTGTGGCAGATATTAACATACTGTTACATCCAAAAGAAAAAAAATGTTTCTCCTTTTTAAAATTATTTGTATTTTTCTATATAATTTGAGCCGCTGCCTTTTACAATGTGTGAAAGGTTTATGATGAATGGATAAATAATAATGTTCCACAGTTGCACAGAATAAAATCTCTTTGCATTAACTTACTTTAAAATTAAAAAAATGTTTTCACTCTACTATTTTGGAGGTACGTGTTTTTTTTCCAGACAGTAACATCGTATTTTACCTTGCGTTGCAACTTTACAGTAATTCTTTCAATAAAGAGCCCTGGCACAGAGCTGCCGCTGTTTTTCATTTGTAACTGACAAACTACCACTCTTACCCACAATGCCAAATCTTTGACTCCCAACTACTAAACCTACCCAGAGTGATGATTTTACCTCACGAAATTGGCCATACCCAAGCAATCAAAATGGGATTCCTCTGTCACTTTCTAATTATGTTAGGGGTTAATCTAATGTGTTCGGGCTTTTGTCCAGGTCTTACAGTCCCACCCAACGAAACCACTCACTTGGCTGTATCTAGCTTGACACAATGAAGAATCCTAATTAGACAATTTTCCATTGGGCATTTTGCATTTCCAAACAAAACATAAAATTGAAATGAGAGGATTACCGCAATACTTGCAGAGTTTAACTATACAAGCATATGATAAGAGCATGACCAGATCATATCAATTTGTGAAGTAATCTTAAAGAGACTTCCTTATGGGGTTTCTGACACTGTATTACATACTGTTATCTATAAAAGTCATCATGCTTTAAGGTAAGGGTGTTGACATGACTACGCTGATGAGTGATATCGGGAAATTGTGTCAGTTGTGTTTTTGGCTGAGGTACCGCTCTGAGGAGGTGGTTCTGAACTTATGTGGTTGGTAGAGGCTGCAGCTTACCGATGTCTATGGAAGCCTTGCCTCGGAGGAGCAGCTTGAGGCACTCGCTGTTGTCTGTGAGGCAGCAGTAATGTAGCGCGGTGCTGCCCTTCACCGTCTGCCTATCCAGATTCACACTAAAAAACAAACACAGCTCAGCTCTTTGCTAGATGTACCATTTAGGGTCCCTTAAAGAGTCATAAAGACTGGGGAGAAAATATGCTTTAAGTCATTTTACATGAGTGGATTTATCTGCACATGCACACAAAAATAAACATGACTTTAGTGTCGGGAGTGCTATTATGCTGGTCAGCACTTAATCAGCAGAGAGAAGGAAACACAGCACAGGTGCGTTTAGGCTTGCTTTATGGTTCTTGCCTGTTCTGAGTGAGGAAGTCCACGATGTGGAGGGAGGTTCTGTCCACCAGCCTCACAGCCAGGTGCAGAGCCGTCTCTCCTTGTTCCTGTAATAAACAGACCAACAGACAGAGGGACGAAACAATAAAATCACTAGAGAGATTTTACATCGAGACACTGGACTGGTTTGAGATGAGAAGACAATAACAACACAGCAATACTGAACGACTGGAGGCTTCAGGCCAGAGTATGTGCGGTTAATGCAGGACAATCCTTGCCATATTTTAATTTAAAACATCACTTCTTGACAACACTATTTTATTCAGACTCACACATTCCTAACAAAGTGACTTAAAATCTAAATCAGACACACTACTGGAAGCAACAGTAACTTTGTAGAAATTAACTAGTGATCCACAATCGAAATCAGGCAAGATCAGAACCAGCAGAGCTGCTCCAAACACGCGTTCAGCAAATGGCCACTTTATTGTTTTTATTTTGGCTGATTTGTGTTGCAATTTTATAACATAAATAAGGTAAGTCAGATAAGAGCATTTGCTCCGTATTTCAACGCTGGTGCTACACCATGTCATAACAATGACCCGGACTTAATTGCATTAAATAGCCAGCTGCCTCTTACTTTCAATGTAGCACATTGATTTCATTTATTTTATTTAAATATTTCTCACTGAAGAATTTAACATTACAGTTTGGCACATTAAACAATTTAAATTGCAGTAAATACAATTTTTTAATTAAATTCAATGCTTTGTAACACCCTTTTAAGGTGCATAACAATGCACACACTCAAATTTAACAAGTATTAAATATCTATTTTATTACAACATATTTTTGAAATCAAACAACATGGAACTATGACTTTGAAATTACAAGATCCTTACACTGTCCTTTCTGTGTATTTGACTATCAGTCCTGCTCTCCCCTAGTCTTTCACCAGCAGTCAGTTTAGACCACAGTACAGCTGATGGATGGATATTTTGGCTGGTAGAGTATTCCAGATTGATCCAGTTTTCAACACAGTCTCCAGGCATCATTTTACAATTTAATTTGGGATGTTCCGATTGTTTTTTAAGACATAGAGCAGCTATTGTAAACACAGGTGCTGCAGATATTATATTTCAAGCTTCCTTTTTAAAACATTTACACCACTTTATCTTCTAAAATGTCTGAATAATGTCAGTTTATGGCTCTTCTGTTAAAGCAAAGTAAACAAAGAGGAAAAACAAAACGATGGACAGAACTGGATCAGGTTTATTTTAACCAATACCAAATCCATTACAATATGCCTGAACATCCCTAAATTTAATATATCTAGTTATAAAAGTGCTTTTTGACATTTAATGACATTTACATTTTGACATTTTTTCCCTTTTTTAAGCATCCAAAGGAAGTCTGAATAAGGTTATTTAGGTTATTTATTAAGGTGACTATTTAGGTGGCTAAAAGAAAGTACTGGAAAGTAATTGTTGCTAAACTTTCATCTGTTGGATTAGACTACACTGTGTGAGCTTTCAGTTTAAAAAAAACAGCTAATAAAAATCAGCCATAAAAGTTCATTAAAAGTGAATCTATTTTTGAAAAGTGAATTTCTTTTTGAAGAGATAACTGACAATAATATGTTTATTAACATGGCACAAACAGGTTTGACTAAATGACTGTGTCTTCATTTGTTTTGCTGCTGGTGATCCTCCTGTAAAGTTTGATTACAGCTCCCATCAACTCCACCTAATTCTCACATTTAGCTGCTCTCGAAGGCTTAATGAACTGAACCAGGTGTGTTTTGTAAATAACTAAAAACTTCTCCAAATAATTCTGTTGAATACTGTGAAGGCTTTTCCCAATTAAAAAACCTTTGAAATAATATTCGTATATAATTATATACGTGTTAGTTGTTGACAAACTGACTTTTTTAAAACTTTGCTTGCTTCTATACTTTTTAGTGTACAGCCAAGAGACTGATTTGATATTAGGATTCAGGAGCAGCTGGAAGCAGACTCACATGCCCATTGGCCAGGGGAATGGGCTCCATCAGGTCCACTCCCTCAGCGTAGACCTGGATGAGGGAGAAGATGTCACGGGCCTTCACTGCATCACAGAGCGTGTGCAGCTTGGAAGCTGCATCAGGACACTTCTTCCGGGCAAAGCGCTTCTCTGTATATTTGGCCATGATGAAGTCTTTTCTGGCCTGCCTGAGAGACAGAAGAGAGGAGATACAAAAACACTAAGGCCTTGGATTCTGACATTCAGCAACTGGAACTGAAGCTCAACACACCCACTAAAAATACACAGACACACAAATTACTAGTCAGACTGCCCACAATTTCTCATGAAGGGTTTTTCTGTATTTTTACTATTTCCACATTTTAGAATATTATAGAAGACATAAAAACTATGAAATATGACAGATGGAATTATGCAGTAACAAAAAAAAGGTGTTAAAGGTGTCGCTTACCAATATTATTTGAGGTTTCTGTATAAATAAATAATTAATAAGTAAACAAAGTCATCCACAGTGGTTTGATGTGAAATGCTCTGTTTTAGAGAAACTTACAGAGTCAGAACTGTTCACAGAAGAATAACGCTGTTGTTGGAAGAAAACCTCGTATCTCCGTATCTCCATTTTTGACGTTTTCAGTTTTTGACATAATTTGAAAATATCTGTTACCCTTTACATTTTATGTAAATTTCATGATGAATGGACCAAAAGAAATGGCCCAAAATAACTTGGAAAAAAGTCTGGTTCCATTCACTTACATTAAAAGTAAAGTTTGTTTTATCCGTCTCCTGTGAAGTTAACATTTTGGAGATACGAGGTTTTCTTCTGACAACAGCGATAAGAGAGAGCTTAAGAGAGAGCATAAGAGAGATAGAGCATGACTTACATGTCGCTGGTTGGATTTGGTTTGACCACATCTTCCGCACTCAGGCAGGCCTCCATGATCTCATTAAAGCCAGCATTCCCCACATTCTTGGCGAGCTGCAGGACACACACACCCACACACACCCTGAGCTGATGACCAGTCCACCGACCATCCTCAACCCAACAATGACAATTACAATGATGCCCTTCCCCAAAACAAACAGCTCTTCCCATCACCACACATTTACCCATGGTTCGTTTCATCACCACAGCTTTTCAACAAAAGCACCAGTCAGTCTCACACCAAACAAGTGTCAAGCATTCAAAAATCAAAGCAAAACAAAGGGCATCTTCCAAACCCACTCTCATTGTGGCCAGCAGCTCTGCCGTCTACTGTAATGACTGTGATGATTCCGCATGGCCGGCTTCAACCCATAGGGCCAAAAGCGTTCATGTGGAATGACTCGCTTTGAGGCAAAATGTTTTAAGATGGACCCACAAAAATGGGAAATATGCAGATGGAGACCCAAATATGCAGCCCAATATCAGTGAAAGAGTGCAGCACTGCATATACAGTTGCTAAAAGCAAATCCAAATACGTACCAGCAGTTCTGATGTGCTGAGGACGTCCAGCGTGAGAGACTGGATTCTGGAGTAGTGAACGCCCAGCTCGCGGTGGATTCCAGAACATTCTATACAGGTTAGGATCCCCAGGTTGGTGGAGAGCCATGTGGGTCCTGGAGAAGAGGAAGAGCAAACAAAGCAGCAATGTTGAAAACTTGTTCCACTGAAACTAGCTTTTAGGTGTAAAGTGACACTGAAATCTGAAATTAATGAACTGACCACACTTCAGATGGACGTCAAATTAGAGATCTAGAGATTAGGTTTGGAGAGCTGCGCTAGCAGTCAAAAGTCTGGGCACACCTGATTGTATGTTTTTCTTTTGATATAAAGGGTTAGGCTTAAAAGTTTCGATTTATTTCAAAGAAGAATAATAAATATTTAAGTTGATGCTTATGTATGAATCTGTGTACCCACAATAAATACATAAATAAATAAATAAATAGTTTTTATTTTGGACTTTTAGGGTTGGAAAATGAATAGTTGGAACCACAGCAAATTTATCATCCTGCTTACTAAGTGTCTCTCTTTAAAAGTTAATTAGCAAGATGTTGATAGAGGGTCAATATTTCAAACTGGAGTAATTCCACTTTAACTATTTCATGGTAGTGTTTTAATTCAACACTTTTCAGTACAGTATAAATAAGGAGGGGAGTTAATGCACTAGTGACAAGCTAACCTGATATCTACAACACAACAATACGACAGAATATAATATGATACACTTTGCTTTGATAGATCCCTAAAAGATATACACACAGACATACATACAGAGAGATAATACATAATAATACTACATAATTTGTATTATATTATAAATACACACAAACATATATATATATATGTGTGTGTGTGTGTGTGTGTGTGTGTGTATTTATATATATATATATATATATACATACATATTTATATATACTATATATATATATATATATATATATATATATATATATATATATATATATATATATATATATATGTATTTATACACACACACACACACATTATTGATAATGGACAGAATAACACTGTGTTTAGCTACATAATTACTATGAAAGTTGCAGACTACTATCAACCAGTGTTACACAGCCATTTATACAGCTATTAGCTAAAACAGCTTCAATTCCATCGTGTGAGTTTCTGGTTGTTTCCCGACCAGGTCCTCGGGGTCCCCAGTCTATATTTTTGCTCCAACCTAGCTCACAACACAAAGGGTTGAAGGAAAAATGTGGACCGTCTGGGGGGCCCTGAGGACCAGGCTGGGAAATCCTGGTGTAGAACATTTTGATCTCCACTGAGAGCTTTTCAGAAACCAAACAACAGCTGCAGGCATCAAGTAAACTTATTAACTAAGGGACTGCGGGAATCAAGATGAAAACATCTCATTTAGTACATCCAACCTAAAAGCACATCTATAATCACACTTTTCAAAGCAGCTGAAGTGTTTTCAGCTCACGTTCTACTACAAAATGAGCCTGCTTTTGTTCTTCCTCTAACCATTCATTCTCTCTCCCACTCTTTTCCTGCCTGTTTGTAGGTCACTCACCGGGCGCGCCGCAGTCACAGCAGACGTCGTTGCCAGTCATGCGTTTGACCTCGCCCAGGATGGCCTTGGTCAGCTCCTGGACAATGTTGTTCTCACCTACGTGCTGGTCACCCTTAAAGGCGTTGTTGAGCGCTTCCTCTTTACTGTTCTGCAGCACCGAGATCCAGCTGAGAGCCACAGGAAGAGAGAGAAAAAGAGAGAGAGAGGGAGAGTGAGAGGAAAGAGAGAGTTAGAGTAGTGGATTTGGAACGTGGCAATTAGGAGCGTCAGGAAAAGGAAATGTAGAATATGTTTCGTCCTTGTGCAGAAAACACCTGCATACACACACATATACTCACATTTGACATTCTGGCTCGTCCTCGGCCTGGAAGTGATATGTTCTGTCATCTGTGAAACGGAAAGGAAGAGAGGGGGGAAGTCAGAGGTAAAATGAGGAAAAAGATAAAAAAAAAGGACATGCACTGAATGAGTATTCTGAAAGTTAAAAGGAAAATGTAGTTTTACAGTAAATCGAAACCATATTTTGTTCTGCTATAAGTGAAGTTTTATAGAATGTATGATTTATATGTCAAATAATTTCTAGTCTTAGCTTTAGTTTTTCAAAAACTATGTGTTATTAATCTGCTATTAAACTGTGTTATTAATCAACTTTTGTCACTTTCATATTAAAATCTTGAAGGAAAACAATACTTATGGGGCAGTATTGTAAAGGGGGCCTTTTGTCCCATGTCTGGGGGGAGTTCTTGCCCCAAAGGTCTTACTTTACATGCTTTTCATCTTAAAAGCAAAATTAAAAAAAACATTTTTTCCTTCTAAAACTAAATGGCATTTCTCTCTGTACCCCACCCCCACCACCTTCCAAAAAACATGTATTTTAAACAAATTGTCTTGTACAAACTTAACATAAAAACACAGATCACCACTGCCAAAAAATTACATCAACTGACCCCAAAGTTTTCCCATGGCAATAAATCCCAGGAATGCAGTGATCCAGATAAAATTTCAGAATTAATTAGACCATGGACAGTTTGGGGGAACTTCCCCCAAGTCACCCTAAAAAGTTTGCTTATGTTAGCTAACACACTAGCCAGAAAAGCTAACATCATCATCATCTTAAACCACTTACTCCAGATAGGGTTGTGGTCTAACATGCCATTCTTAAAAGCAAGTTGTCCCCAAACTTTTGCCAGGCAGCGTACAGCATTGTGTGGACGATGATGCAATGCTATTCATCAGAGTCAAACAGGTTAGCGTACCACACTGCTGCAGCGACAGTGAAGTTGAAGTGGAAGTCATGGTGTTCATTTACAGTAGAACAGCAAGTGTTCATCTGCAGAACAGCAGTGCTAAACGCTCTCATTCTAAACACACTGCCCATCTGCTCCCATTCTCAAACAAACATTTAAAGAACAATGATGACATTTTGTTAAATAATTTCTCTTATTTGTCATGTGATAAAAACAGTGTGGGTGTGAGCTAAGTTTTTTTTTTTTGTTTGTTTTGGAGGAATGCAATTTTATAGTGGCAGCCAAGAGACCTCAGTACATCCGCTTTCAATCTGAGAAGAAGAAACAGCTTTCTATAAATGTCAAGCATCTGGGAAGATGCATTGGGACTGTCTAATGGCTCTGCGGTGGTTTAGAAAAAGGGGGTGGGGAGGCACTCCTGACAACTCTTTGGTAATGTCAAGGTCAACAGATCATCAAAATGTCCTGAAAACACAGTTGTGAAGCTAAAAGCAATACTGTAAAAAAGGCTGGGAACATGAGGAATATTCCCCTCTGGCTGTACACCCACTGCTACTATGTTAACATATAGTACAATTATATACAGTACAATACATTTTGACCTAAAGGCTTATGTTTTAATTTCTGAAATGTGTTTCAAAGATAATAGTGAAGTAATTTCAAAACAAAAATATCAAATTACAAAAAGATTTTTTAAATATGTGAACTATAGTAACCTCATCAATAACTATAAACAGAATCCTTCCATGAGTAGGTGTGTACAAACAAGTACTGTACATATATCCTTAAATTCAACTGGAAAGAGAATGAACACAGATACCATATATTAAAGCAAATGCCCACAAATTCTTAGGAGTGCAGCTGGCTATAGAGAAATTCAGGTTTGTGCTGCCTTAACAAAAACAGAGCAGTGATACTATAAGAACGAACTGCAAGTTAACTTAGCAAATCACAATCATCTCTAAACACTACTTCCTCTGTCAAGCAATAGAAAAATTTGATAAAACTCACCAAACCTGCAGTGAGAACGGCAGTGGCAGTAAATTAGAATTATTAAGATAAGAAATGGTGGAAAGGCTTTACTGGGGATTGTATAATTCAGACTCAGATCCTGATCATCTGGAGGATGATGTTGTTTTTATTTCATTCCTGAAGCTGAAAACATTTTGTATTTTTCAATGTCAGAATTATTAAGTAAGCTAAACTTTAAACTGTTACTGCATGTTACTGCACATGTTTACCGATAAATAACATTACAGAACACCTTCAAGATGAGTTTCCTCAGCTCCAGCCTTAGCTTTAGCATTAGCTCTACTATCAGCTCATCTGAAAGGGTAACCCCCCCATTGCACACATCTCCTTATCAGACATGAACAGCTTCCACTTTAACATGTTTCAACTGAAAACTGGTAAACTAAATTTGGCCTACAGTCACATTTAAACATGTTGTTAAACATCTAAGTCTGCACTAAACATCTCAAAGTCATTATAAAAAAATTCTACAATGTACAATTCTACAATTCTACAATTTCCTTTATGCCACTGAACGTCTTTGTCTGTTAGCACAAGCTCTACAGACGTAACCAGGTGTTTTAAACCTGCTTATTTTTGACCTGCCTTCTTCAAAAGAATTTTACAATATGTGAATTTGACAACAACCAACACAATATACTGGACACATGCTAATTTTTGATAACACTTCCTTAAGTTAATACTGCTTCCAAACTTCTGGCCTGTAGTATACATAATACATTAGAGGTGTAGGTATAACGCATTACAAATCAATAAACCAAAACCAAATTACATCAGTAAATCGAACATAGTACAACATGGCACACGGTGCTGTCATTTCATTTTCCACACAGAAAGTGGCTGTACAGTGTTTGCCAACATGATGACTTGTTTTCCTGACACTCGTCCATGCTCTGATTCACTGTTTTATAGAGTCTTTTTTTCACTGTGAAAAGATTGAACTTTGTGTGAAAAGGGCTCCGGCATACTGTGTAGCTCTGCAGGTCTGAAATACCACTCACCAAGCCCCTCAGCCACATTCAATTTACAAAAAAAGCCTTCATCACATTTACAGATGGGCTGCTCTACAGGTTCAGCACTGAGGGACAGGAGAGGCAGGGGTGTATCTGTTTAGGGAGATATTCAGGCAGAGGCTGTGTGTGTGTGTGTGTGTGGACACTGAAGTGATCACCGTACGTGAGATGAGGTCGAAACTTTTCTTCTCTTCTGGGTTGTGCTTCACCTGACAGGTCAGGAGATTGAGCTTGGCTGGTGGTCTATTTGCCTGAGAGAGAGAAAGAGAAAGAGAGAGAGAGAGAGAGAGAGAGAGAGAGAGAGAGAGAGAGAGAGAGAGAGAGAGTTGGAGAGAGTTGGAGAGATGTATTAGTTTCATTGTGCTCATAAATGAACACTGAAATCAGTGGTAGTTTTACATATTTCAGCATTAGTCTCTCCCTTTGTGAATGCATATGCAATAACTTCACTCTCTTATTCCTTCTGATGATCAATGCACACACAGCTGTAAGTCTCCTACTGAGGAACAGCTATAGTCAGAATTTAAAAGCAGGCCACAGATTGGGAAGATTTTCTTTCGTTTTCTCTCTCTCTCTCTCTCTCTCTCTCTCTCTCTGCCGAGAAAGAGAATAATACCAAGAAGTAGGAAACAGAACAGGCTTACGGAATTAATCAATAATTTGTCTGGTCTTCTCCACAAGTGAAGACATAACAGGAAACGAACAGTGTAATGAGGTCAGGAGAGACAAGATGAAGCCCTGCTGTGTGTGTGTAGGCATATTGTATATATATATATATATGTGTGTATATTTTATATATATATATATATATATATATATATATATATATATAGGTGCACTTCTAAGTCCCCTGTTACCCTGTTCTTCAGTGGTCAGGACCCCCATGGACCCTCACAGAGCAGGTACTATTTGGGAGGTGGATATATTCTCAGCACTGCAGTAACACTGACATGGTCGTGGTGTGTGTTGTGCTGGTACGAGTGGATCAGACACAGCAGGTCTGCTGGAGTTTTTAAACACTGTGTCCACTCACTGTCCACTCTATTAGACACTCCTACCTTGTCAGTCCACCTTGTAGATGTAAAGTCAGAGACAATAGCTCATCTGCTGCTGCACAGTTTGTGTTGGTCATCCTCTAGTCCTTCATCAGTGGTCACAGGACGCTGCCCACAGGACACTGTTGGCTGGATATTTTTGGTTGGTGGACTATTCTCAGTCCAGCAGTGACACTGAGGTGTTTTAAAAACTCCAGCAGACCTGCTGTGTCTGACCCACTCGTACCAGCGCATCACACACTAACACACCACCACTGCATCAGTGTCACTGCAGGGCTGAGAATGATCCACCACCCAAATAGTACCTGCTCTGTGAGGGTCCATGGGGGTCCTGACCACTGAAGAACAGGGTGAAAGGGGGCTAACAAAGTATGCAGAGAAACAGATGGACTACAGTCTGTAATTGTAGAACTACAAAGTGCACCTATACAGTAAGTGGAGCTGATAAAATGGACAATGAGCATAGAAACAAGGAGGTGGTCATAATGTTATGTCTGATCAGTGTATAAACCAGTTTAAGACATTTTTTTCTAAAACTATTTGGCTTGTTTTTTATTTTCTTTATCAAATTTAGAGTAACGTGGAATGGCACATTTGTCCAATCTATTACTAATACATAAAAACTCTCAGAGCACCAACAATGGCAGCCATGTTAGCAACAAAAACCTTACGCTATACCAAGTGTAGGGTTTTTGATGGGCAAGACTCATAACAGTACCTTCGCCTACCTGTGTAAAATGATAAAAATTGTAAGTCGCTCTGGATAAGAGCGTCTGCCAAATGCCGTAAACATTAATGTAAATGTAAAAATACAACAAGCCTTCAACATTATGTTTGGTTTGTCTCCTGTATGCATATATACACATACACATTAGGTGTGAAAGCCACTGTGGATGTGCATTTACTCACCGTCCCATGGGAGATGGTCAGGTAGCCGTTCTTTACTGTGCACTTCCTCTTCTGCCATACTTTCCGTAGACTGGGAACAGGAAACAGGAAGTTATCATCATGCACACCCCCACTGTCCTTCAGCGCCCAGTGTTCCTTTCCATTACTAACTAACTTCAGCTGCAGTTAAATGAAGCTTCAAGGCCTTCACTACATGATGAATAATGCAGCCTGAGCTCCAGTGACGCTAATGAATATGCACTCACGCACTGGATGGCATTTTAATGAAGTCTCTCAAGCCAACTGCACAAACTCACCCATCACTCTTCTTGTAGAGGTTTCCACTACGCTCTGTCCCGTGTTCTTTGTTCCCCTGGGGCTGATGTAGACTGTAGGTGGCGCTTTGTCGCACCTGCGAATCCTAAAAAACAAGCACAGGGTAATGCAGATGCGTATCATGCACAGTGTATGTAAATTTATGTAAAAACCTTTGGAGGAAGTGGCTACGCCTACAGCCTGGGGAAGGGAAAAAATGTTGTTTTTGTACTTGATGTGGTCACTTCCTCTGAGGAAACGGCTATAGTGGACTTCCCTGAACCCCCCCAGTGGGGCGACTTCATTTTGAAACACATTCCCAAACCAACAAGACTGAAACTGCAGTAACTTACAAACTTGAATTGAAGTTTTAATTCCAAAATGCTGTTTATACATTTGTAACAATTTTGGATAAATAAAGAGTTTTTTCGAAAAGAATACCAGCTGATGTATAGATGAAAAACACATTTTTATTACTCTAATTAAGGTAGTGTTAATCATAATATAGCATTGATATCTCTTGCATGTGTAAAGCTCACTCCCAACAACAAATACCATGGAAAAAAAAATCTTGAAATGGTCTGTATTTTGGAACGAAACCCTTCCATTTCAAATAGAGATTTAATGAGCCTAAACATCTTCAAGCCGGAAAGACTGGTCCTGTAACCCAGCAGGAAACTTTGTTTCCATCTCTTTGGAAATGTGTTTCAACATGAGTCAGTACTGAACTATTATTTCATGTAGTAAACGGTATAAATGCTCATGAGGTGACTTGATTAGTCAAGTGGAGAACAGAGACAGATGGAATTTGCATGAAACAAAGACTGATTTCAGTTCCTGTGAACACAGAGCAGTGAAAGTTCAACCATTAAAGAAAGAGGTCTGTGAAATATCTAATTTACACAATTTTCCTCTTACCTCAACAGTAGTTGATCAGCCAAGACATGTTTGGTGTCCAAAGTTTGCTTCTTTAGTTTTGCAATGGAGCTACAAGGCTAATGTAAAGGTAATGGAAGCTTATGTATGGTGCATATACACACCTAGGCCTGTTACTTGAAGCAAATATCCGGGCTGATCGCAATTAGTTTCTACAGTTGTTAGCATTCACAATCATATGTTTACTTCACAACAAACAAAATGTGCACTGGATGTTCTTTCACCTGTAAGTTTTAGGCAAAGACATGTAAAACAACAAAAGTTCTAACTTCTGACTTCATGCTGTAACACTTTCAGAGGGCAGTGGTGTGTAATGTTTGTTTATTTAAGTTCAAGCTGTTTCTGTCATCAGTCAGGAACTCCGATTGGTACGTGTCCACTTTTTCTCGCCGCATTGTGCCGTGCTGGATCTCTCTGCTCACCGCTGGTGGGCTTTTCTGTGTCATTATAGAAATGCAGGAATCGTATCGAACATATCTGGGTCAATAAACAACCTGATACACTGTTTGCTGATGCACAGAATCCCACAATGAGACTAAAATACAGACTTGTATATTTTATGCACTTCAGAATGCATCAGTCGTTCACGCAAGTCAGAAAATTAGCTTGCTCAATCTCATTAGTAAGGCAGCTACTCTAGCAAGTAGCCTACAAGCTCTATATGATTTAAATTTTGCCTTCCCCCTCGAACAATGTGAACTACATCCAAACAAATATCTTCCCTCCAAATCTTGACTGTCAACAGTTAGATTTAAAATCAGACATTTTCATTGTAACATAAAATTGACTCATTCATTCAAATGAAAAGCATGCAATGAGGTGAAGTTTCAAGTGGATACGTACCATGAGTATCAACAGTTAGGGAGCAAAGCAGCTAATCACCCAATTTGGCCATTATAGGCTGGTAGTTGTTCATAATAGTTGCATACAATGAAGAAATAGACAGTTAAAGTGTTTATATGGCAACATTAGTTGTGTTTATATGTGTTTATACAGACATCAATCATCAGGTAAAAAGCCATGATTGTGAAGGGACTACAAACACCAATCATCATCGCGCAAATTGCATGCCTGAATCTTCACATACTCGCCTCAAAATGTGTTCTCAATCTTTCTTATGTGGTTTCTGACGGTCTGGCACACCTCTATTTATAATAATGGAAAAAATATATTGCCTAGGTAAACAGTAGCAGTATCATCCATCATAAAGGCTGAACTTTGTACTTTTGTCTATTTCTATAGATAACAGTATGTCAGATAGACAAAGGACCACATGCAAAATCAAAGTAGCAAACTTTGGACACCAGCCATGTCTTGGCTGACCAACTATTCCTTTTAACTTCATGCCTTTACAAACTACTTAAAAAAGAGGAGGATTAGAGGTGCAGGTTTTAGGACTTCAAGACTATGGATTCGTCTTTTATTGATTTCAAAGGGCACTATTTGATGAGCTTCCCCATCTCCTGCACCATTAAGCACAAAAAAGGACATCAAGAAGGCACTTACTCTCCTAGACTTCGTTGGCAAAGGATGGAAGCATTAAAGAAGAGTGGAAAGCATTGTATCAGACATTTTAAACACTGTTTCACAGCAGCTACACGAACAAGGCAAGCATCAGAAAGCAAGCAGTCATCAAATGCTAAGCTAAAGAATCTCTTGGCTACTTAGCAGCAGCTCACGTGGTGTTAAGAAGGTTGTAAAACTGATGGCTTTACATTTGGATTAAGAGTATGTAATCGCTTAATGATCATGGATTACAAGAGCCAAAGCTGCTTGCTTGAGGTCAGGGGAAACGCCTGAAGTGAGAAATGTGAGAAAGCAGAAAGGAAGTATGAACTTCCACAGCCAGTCACCCAAAGAATTACTTAGTATGGATGCTTGTTTTCGCCAGTCTTTTAGATGCATGCATGATGAGAGCAAAATCATATCAGTATCAGTAGTTTTTTATTTTAATATATATCAGCATCAGACAGCTGTTTAGATATGACAGATCTTAAACGGATATTTGGTGACATGAACATTTAGGTTGATGCTGGGCTACTGTGCTAAAATGTCATTTTATTTCGTTTTACTGTATTTGTATACCTCTAATAATACATGTAATATTTACTAATTCAGGTCCAGTCCCAGTTTCTACATTTCATAAATGTTAATGTATCAGCATTGGCAGATTTGTACATAAAAAAAACTGGATACTGGCAATTGCTCACAATTCTCATATCAATGTATTCCCACCCAAAACACTTGAAATATTAAATAAAACAATAAAAAATGCAAGTTAGTGTCTAGTTTAAGGTATTTAAATCTATAATGTATACATTTTGAAAGTTTTAATGTATAAAAAATTACAAAAAATATTAATAAATTGATATATTATTCCAAACTTGTGTATTAGGTACAAATATCATTGCACCCTGCAGTTATGATTTATGTTTACTACTTTATATGCTATCTATGTAACACTTCTAAAGTGGCTGTTAATCGGCAAAAAGCATACTTATAAGTTCGCTTCATCAGGTTTTGAGTTTACTCAAATAACCTTGAAGACACTTAGTACAGTATACATATTCTTATTACTGACTGTATGTACTTGAAAGTAACCTATAACATGACTTGAAAGCACAATTTCAAGATCATTTTTAAGAATGCATTGAGTGTGCTCCAAAGTAATTATACTTTACATATCAAAAGTAAAAAGTAAACATCCTTAACACAGTGTAATTCTCCCCAAGTATTCTATAGTACACCTAGAGCATATGTGAAATTTTGAATTTACAGTGTGTATAAGAACTGAACTACCCAGCAGTGCGCCAGCAATCATCCATGTTAAATGAAACCTGGTCCCGACCCCTGCTGGGTCTCTCAGAATAGGACTAAGCAGCGCTGATGTAAAGTGAACTGAGCAGAGAGAAGCTGGGCTTACCTCCTTCTGCTCCACCTGAAGCGCTGTCTTCAGCACATCTCGTAACTGTGTGAGCTGCCTGCGCTCCTCGTCCTGAGCCTGCTTGATCTGAGATAGAGTGCAAAGTTAGCAGTGTCAGCAGGGGGGAAAAACACAGGAACAAAGAAGAGTTTTTCCAGCTCTTTTAAGATCGTATATGTAGATGAATAGTTCAGCAAACAAATTCACATAATTTTTTCGACGTTTCGAAATTTGTCTAAAATTATTGCACCCTTGCCACAAGCCACATCAGGCTGACAGGTAATCCCAATAGACTTGCTTATGCGGTTTCTGACACTATGATATACTCTTATCTATAAAAATGGACAAAAGTATGGAAAATTCAGGCCTAAAGATAACTGTTACTACTACTTTTAGCTATGCTTCTATTTACTTTTCGATCATTTTAAAGATAACTATTTTATATAGTTCCAGATACCACATAAGTATGTCTATTAGAGATTACTTAACACGCTTTTAGGTATGTGTGTGATTTTTTTTCCTATTTCCTTAAGTTTCTAGTGCCTACGTTTCTAGAGGGGGTCTGTTCTTATAAGTAAGTGTTGCTATTAATGATAAGAGAACAATTCTTTTGCATGGTTCGTCCGTATAATGTGTTTCCATGCAGAATAGTCCTTACCACAAACCGAGTTGCTAATAGCAATCAAACCTAAAAAAAATGGCTATGCTAATGATCCACTCACCGTATGCAAGTCTGTGGCCAGTTTTTCTATAGAGGGTTTGAGGTTATCCACCGCCTTCAGGCCATCCTGAAAGAAACTGAGAGACAAGATGTCCAATCAGCTTTAAAATAGCATTAAATTAGCATTGAATTTTCCCCAAGAGCTAGCTGACCTTCACTCATACACGCACAGACACACAAGGGCACTCTCTCCACAGTGTCTAAAAAATCTCTCTCCAAGTAGCATTTTTCTGCTGACCTTCTGAAATAATTGAGCAAAACCTACAGGATGAGGTCATCTCTAACTTTTTTAATGTGGCAAGTATCTGTCCTCTGTCATTCTACTGCAGTTAGAGAACAAGAATATTTTTAGCATATAGCTGTCATATCAGCTGATAGGATTTTCATAGACAAAATCAGTCTTATTCTTCTGAGACAGAAGTTTCTCCTATTTAATAAACATATTATTATTATAATCAAACTAACATCAATCATTGAATGACATTTCAAACCACTCTGAATGACATATTTCAGAGTGTTTTGATGTGAGATGGTGCACTGCAGGGTTGTGATCTCGATAACACAGCCACTTTATTTATCCAAAATGACCAGTGAATGACCAGTTTTTATACTGTTGCTATCAGAACAAAACCTCATATCTCCAAAGAGGTAACTCTGTGGGAGACAGTAAAAACATAACCTACAATGGAAGGTAACAGAACAAGATTTTCAGCAGTTTTAGACCATTTCTATTTGTCCTTTCATCATGAAATTTTAACATGATGTGAAGTGTAGCTGCAAATTACACAAAACAGTAGGGAGATACAAGGTTTTTGTGTGACAGCAACAATATATAACATTGATAACTGCAAAACAGTCACAAATCAGGGAAATAAGTTGTTTGGTTACCATTTTGTCTTGCAATGCCCTGTATGTACCTCTCTGCCATGATTGGATTTAAAAAGTATTTCATTTAGGCCCAATTTTTTTTTTCTAAAACTATCATAAATGTCTCAGGCATCAGACAATGTATTTGTAACCATTTCACGTAAAAGCTTTCTGTGAAGTAGCTTTTAGTGGCATGCTTTGGATATCTAGTTCCTATCACTACTTGTGAGCAATTCACAACAACAAGAGCAATTCTCTAGACTGGAACAATTTATATAAACTACTCTTTGTTTGTATCTTATCCAATTCAAGTTGCACTATGTAAGATTTGGGGATTTAGAGACCTCTCTGGTGAAATGCGTAATTGCATGCAACACACGGAACAACATTAGTTGTGCTTCAGACCACTTCCATGACTGGAAGAAGGTCATGTCTTCTGACGTCATAAGTGAATATTCTACAACTGTCACCATATCTTCATCAGTATAATGTGGATTTTGCATTTGAGACCTAAACATCAAGCAGGACCTACTTTTTGAGGCTGTGCATGCAAGGTTTCATAAAGACATATGACGTGGTCCGAAAAACTCTTGCAAAATCAGGCCCAACACCTGACTTTTAAATGACTATTTCAGGCTTTACAGGGTGACTCAAAGCAACGCATGCACACACCATATTTTAGTGCCTTTTTTCTCTTGACTCAGTAACGCTACTTCTTTCAATTTTAACAAAAACATCTTACATAGTGCAGCTTCAATTATGGAGAAATTTTGAAAAATAAATGGAATTTCCCTTTTAATGTAAATAAATGCTCATTTAAGTGTACTCTAGACCCAAAATCAGCACAGTCGATAAGAGCAGAGAAGAGAGGTCTTACTTGCACTGTGCATGGAAGTACTTGATGAGATTCTGCAGCAGGTCCACACCTTTCTTGATTTTAATCTCATTCACTTTGAGCAGGTACTGAAATGAAAGTATCGACCAGAATGAGGCACAGTGCAGAACAAATGGGTCAAAGCGTAAACATGTGGCATCAATGGAACAGTACTAGTGGCTAAATCTTTTCCAGACAGAAACTCAAGTAGAGTAATATCATATTTTCAAGCTGAGCAGAAAATTACAGCCAGCTGCTATGTAGTACATTTTGGAAAACTTTAAATTACTTGTGGAGATGCTATGACACTTCGAATTGTGTAGTTCACCACAAGAAGCATATTTTGTAACAAGATTTTGTAACAAGATCTCTATAATGGTAACTTCAAAGGTCAACATGAAAACTTTCTTTTAATGTATGTTATTATAAAAGGATTTAATTTAATTCATTGTTCGCTTCATCATCACAAAGCGTTGCTGGGATTTTCAAAGCATTTAAAAATTTAATAAATTAAAAAAAAAGGATTTTGATATGACAGTGATAATATACTGCAGTGCAAAAAAGCACAACTCAAGTTTTCTCTTCAGTCCATATCTCTTATGGTCAGCTTTCTGCCCCTTTTACTGACCTCACACATCTGAAGCTGAAAGAACCGCCTCTCTTTCTCCATCTCCTCTGCGATCTCTGCTCCGCTGATCTCCGTCCGGATCATCCCGTGCTGCCGCGCATGCTCTTTCTTCTCCTTCTCGATCTTAGTGCTGCATGGAGACACACAAGAGCCCCTTATTACCTAAACACTAACAAAGGCATTTAAACGTATGCAAAAAGTGCCAATCATGCAACAAGGCATTCTTTTCCATATGCTATAGCAGCATACTGGACCCTATTAATGGATGCAGGGTTTCCTCCTTAAGAAGGAAAGCCAGACACAGTCACAGGACTCCAGAGCTAGCATTACAGCTTTAGTGAAGGCCCATCCTTTCCTATATTATAGTCCAGAATTAAATATTTCTTATGCAAGCAATGCCAGCAGATAATCTAATAATTTGTACTTAATGGCCATTTTGAATGGAAATTAAATAAATCAAGGAATCAAGCAAAATGTGTCTCTACCATTGAAAACAATAGTAAATGAGCCCCTCGAATCATTGCACGCTTGCCTCGTGTCAAGTAGTTAAGTACATTTAAATAATGTGCTTATGTGGTTTCCAGCACTGTTTGACATATTGTCATCTATAAAAAAAGCACAAAGGCATTACATGGGTTATTAATTAAAAAAAAAGGTCTGATTTTTTATTAATAACGGTTTGTCACACAGTGCCAGCAACATGCAAGTTAAAGCTAAAAACAAACATTTTTGAGTGTGAATGTGAGGTTAGTGATGCAAGTTAGATTTTTGCTTACTAAACTGTTCATTTAATCACAGCCAGATAAAATCTTCAATAGCATTTTATCTGAGTTCTCCCTGCCCTCCATTAACCTCTCCTACAGACTTACTCAGAACTACTATATCAGACAATAATGTTCTGGAAAAAACATGCTAAGTGGTGTTCAAATCAGCAGCAAATTTTCCTCAACCAAACTGATTTCCAACACTATATAAATCAAGGCAGCAACAAGCTCCTTTGTTTTGATGAGCCAGATTGTGATTGTAGCACCACTGTTCGCTCTGTCGCCTAAATTCTAGACGCAGCTGTTGTAAGTGATGCCAATTATTGCTACATCGGCTGCAAACAAGATTAGAAAGCTGTAATGTTTTGGTTTTGAAATTGTTGATGAACCCTAAATGCCTCCTACTTGGGCATCTTCAGAATTAAAAAAATATATTTACATTCATTTATTATGCTAAGCTGGTCTGAGATTTAAAACTGTGCACACAGGAAGACAAAAAGTAAGAAGTAGAATTAGAAAGCCCTTTAATAGCTGCCATTTAGGCCTTTGTGAACCACATTTGAGATGACCACCTCTGGAACCTGTGACCGAGTCTAAAGCCTGGTGGGTGTTCCATCATTTGTCAAAGACATTGACAAAACCCGAAGCCATTCTCCAAACCAAAAAAAAAAGGTAGATAAAGTGAGTGGAAACAGTGAAGGACAGACAAACAGAGTACCAGGCAATTAAAGGTGGTGTGTTAGCATGTGGCGGTATACAGTTGAATATTTTTGCAAATGAACTACAGTTCATTCCAGTGGACACTCAGGCAAGTAGTGAGGATGAGACTGAGTGACCGCACACATGCGGCCACAGCACTTCTGCAGGAAAACAAAAGGAGCCGTCCACTTTTTTCCTTTTTTCCCCCCACACTGGGTTCATTATAGTCAGCAACACACTGTCAACAAAAAAGGCAATTTCCTACCAGTGGCAGCGGTTCACATTACAAGAAGAAAAAATGTCCTCACGGGAGAACAGTAGCTGTCACTCACTTTTAAATAACAAGGCTAGGCAGACTGACTAAATCAGTCAAGAGAAGCCTGTTTCTTATCATGTGAGTTACTAACGCAACGGAAATTACATTCATACTGACACTGACATGAAATCAGTTGTGTGGTGGATCCAAAAATCCTATAGCACTAGATTTGCTAAGTGTTTGTTTTATATCAAACAATTTTATTCTATTTTTCTTCTCTGAGGTCCACTTGTGTCCACTTTTAACATTTGTCTCGTTTTATGTACCAAAATATTCATATGTCATTTTTACATGACCACTTTACCAACCTCTGCTAATCCCTTTAGAATTAAACTGGCTGGTTTTGGTTACCATGTGTTAAAGACTGATCTATGTAAATAATCTGCACTCTGACTGGCTGTCCTGTACTGTGCCTCTTTCAAAAAGCAGTCAGGACTGTAACACTCCTTATTTATTGCGAATGGGTGAGGCTAAATCTACATAGCTTAAATAGCTAGTGTTGTTTTTTGTGATATCTCAAAAGCAACAAACTCTACACAAACTGTTTTTGCAGCTTAGCTTCCATGTAAGGACTGTATGGACTACAGTGTTAGAGGTACGTTTTGAAATCTAACATACCTTTGAGTTAACATTAAGCTAATTATGCTGGTGCTATCAGGTTATTTCTATATTTCTTCAAAAACAAACTTTAAAAATTTTTTTTTTTTATCAGTCAAATCAAAGCAAATTGATGTTTCCTGACAAACACCTTTAACGCTAAAAGACACCGGCCCATTATTCTCCACCGAACACCAACAACCCAAACGCTGGGTTCCTGTGCCATACCTGCGTGTGATTCTTACATTCACAATGTTCTAGAATGTTCTCCTACATTCTCAGTACAAAGTTCTCCTACATTTACACTGTTCTAGAAAGTTCTACATTCCCACTATTTAGAATGTTCTCCTCCATTTCCACTATTCTACAAGCATTTGCACCATTCTAGAATGTTCTCCTCTGTTCACACTATTCCAGAATGTTCTCTAGTTGCACTGTTCTGGAACATTTTCCCTTATTGACACTGTTCAACAATGTTCTCCTCCATTCACACTGTTCAAGGATGTTATGCTTCATTCATACTGTTCTACAAAATCCTCCCCATCTTCACCAATGTAGAACACGCTCCTCCATTCACATCATTCTAGAAAGTTCTCCACCTTTCCCAATGTTCTACAATGTTTGTCTCCATTCGCACTGTTTAGAACATTCTCCTTCATTCCTACTGCTTTAGAATGTTCTCCCCCATGCAAACTATGTTCTCCTTCATTCACACCGTTCTAGAATTTTCTCCTCTATTTATACTATTCTAGAAATGTTATCCACCATTTAGTGTTCTACTCCACATTTGAGAATATGCATGGAGGAGAACATTCTAAAACATGATAAACCCAACTGAATGTTATACTTTCTTAAAATAAAATGTTTCCGAACGTTGTTCTAAAATGTTCACCTCCAATCACACTGTTTCAATGTTCTCCACTCATACTGTTCTAGAATGTTATCCCCCTTTTCACACTGTTCTAAACTGCTCTTTCATTCACATTGCTCTAAATTGTTCTCCATTTACATTGCTCTGGAACTTTCCCCTTGATGCTGACTGCTTTAGAGTGTTCACCTCCATTCACACGGTTCTAGATGCTCTTAATTTATACTATTCTAGAATGTCATCCCCCATTCACACTGTTCTAAAACGCGCTTTCATTCACATTTCTTTAGACTGTTCTCCATTCACACTGCTCTAGAACTTCCCCTTGATGCCAACTGTTTTAGAGTGTTCTCCTCCACACGGTTCTAGATGCTTTCCATTCGTACTGTTTTACAATGTTCTCGATTCATACTGTTCTAGAATGTCATCCCCCATTCACATTGTTCTAAAATGCTCCTTCATTCACATTGCTCTAGAATGTTCTCTATTCACACTGTTTTAGAACTTTCCCCTTGATGCTGACTGTTTTAGAATGTTCTCCACTCACACAGTTCTAGATGCTCTCCATTCACATTGGTTTATTTGTTTGGCTTGTCCGTTCTCACTGTGAAACATTAAAATCCCAACTGTTAACGTTAGAATGTTTGTACATTCTTAAAATAAAGGTTTCTAAATGTTTCTTGGCTTGTATGTGTGGTTCTAGGAAAAGACCTTCAGTAAGTATAGAAGAAACACATTATGTGGTCTAAGGTTCTTCAAGCCAGGCAACCTTATCTCTTATCCTAAGGCTCTTTGGAAAACCAACAGTAGTTTACATATAGCATTGCATCAAAGAACGTTTTCTGAAACCTTTATTTTTAAGAGGGTGTTTGTTGGGGAATGTTGGGTTGGTGTGCTTTGGGCTGTAGGCCACTAAACTGTATGAGGATGAGGTTTATTTCCTCTCTCTCTCTCCTCTACTGTGCTTAAGAGGTGTTCACACTGGCACATTCAGAGCTGTGATATTCATTAGTAGGACATCTGCACACAATCATCCACAGCCCAAAGCACGAAGAGCGCTTAAGAAATGGCTGCACAAATGACAGCTGACAGCTTTCGCACAGACGTAAAGATCAGAATGAGCTCACGCCGTAGCTGCAACAGCAATGACAGTGTGCTTAAGGATCAGCCAGAGTTTGTCTGAAGCACTGTGTTTCATTCCCCTCTGTCTGGAAACGCAGAGATACTTGTGATAAACTCCTACCAGAGATTAACTGAGAGGTTTTTTTTTTTTAATCAACAATCCCCAAGGCAAATGGAGTTGAAGTGACCGGGACAGAGGGGGGCGGGGGGTCTCAATGAAGCACTTGCCGACCTTAGCGAAATCAAGTGACTGATGACGGAAAATGACACGAACTAAATGGCACATAAAAAGCACCCTGGCTTCTGTTCATCTAGTCAAAAGGCATGTTATAGGAAAAATCATTACCCTTTCAGTAAAGAATGTCCTTTGCAGCTTGGAAAATATATGAAAATTGCTATAAAAAATCTCATACATTAAAGCGTGAATGATTAAAAAAAAACAATTAGTGTGACAGTCAATACTAGGAGAGGAGATTAGGTGATGAAAATAAGTGTTCATTATCTAAAGTGCTGGAGTCGAGCTCTAGCAACGTGAACATGGTTCAGTGATCACTCACATGGCACACACACACACAAGACAGGACAGTTAAAAGACTCAATAAATGAACAATTCGTCATCCTTCATTTCATTAGCTTATGAGTGCTAGCTTTGTGGTTAGATCTTTCTATGTGAACATTAGGACAGTATGACAGGACAATATGAGGTCCATGTCAACAATTAAACTCTACTTTCTATGGAAATAAGCAATAAGTACCCTTTAAATGAACTTATCAGGTGTGCTTCTCTGGTTAGCAAAGGTAGCAATATCAATGGAATCTGGTCAAAGATGAGGATGAAAATGACTTACACTTTGGTTTCGTAGTCCTTCCAGGCCTTATCGAAGGGCTTTTTCAGATCCTGCAAGGGACAAAAGCAGAGACATGAACATTTTTCCACTAGACAGTGTGGCAACTTACAGCTGAACCAATTTCGCATCACACAACAGAACTGTAAAAGTAAACGTGGTTCTATGGCAGTTACGTAGTGGTCAGATTATTTGTCACACAATGCTACTGTAAACAAACAGCCACAGCATCAATGCAGGAATTTCTTATCTACTCTTTACTAAGTGTTTGGGTTTATGTGAGAGTCAATGAAATTTCAGCCAGCTAATGGTTATTATTAATGGTGGTCATCTGAATCAAGTTACAAGTACAGTATGGCACCATTCACTTGAAGAAATGATGATAAAGTACAGATTTAAAACCGTTGGACCAGTGGAAAAATGCCATTACAGGCATAGGCTTCATTTTTTAGAGAAAGTCTTTAACTGATTCAACTATGTGCTCTAGTGGCTGTGACGCTATGGACGTTGGTTAAAGTATGCATCAAATGTATGAAATGTATAAAAGGCCAGCAACAATAACACTGCTAGACTGGCAGCCCCGGGCTGCTTCCTCAGCTTACTGCCGTTGTTAGATACAGTGCAACACTTTTTTAACAAGCACATGCTTACGTTCAAACCAAAATTGATGTTGACAAGGACTGTTCAATAAAAGGTGAAGCATATTTCTAATTACAAGTCACAGATAAATTCTCGACCCTCCCTGATGGAGGCACAAGTCCAAATGCACTGATTTTTTTGTCCATAGCGATGTTATAAGAAAGGCTTTTATTTAATGAAGAGGGTCATGGTTGTTGACTCTCTTCTCCAAATTTTCAACTTTTTAAGATTATTTTCTTTTTGTTTACAAATTGGTGCAATGCCTCATTGAGATTGAGATTGCATTACTTTTTAAGAACACTGTAAAAATGATTTGGTGATTTAGCTTACAAAAGTAAGCAACATAGTTGCCATGAATTTTTGAAAAGTAAATTAATAGAATAGAACAGTTTTACATTTTGTTGTCATGTTAATTGAAGTTCAAGGTACTTTTAAGATTTAAGATCTAATTTTAAGTTACTTACTTAAAACATTAAACCATTTTTACCCCTGCATAAGAGGGTTAATCTAGATTTCTAAACTGATACACACCCACAATCTTAATATTACAGACATCTGTCAATGATTAATCAACACTACAGGCATCAGCAGGAACTTATTAACTAACCATACAGAGCAGTATGTTAGAAGTAATAATAGTGTACGTATGTGAGGGTGACTGAGTGCTCACATTATTACACACATAACCCATTACATCATGGTTATAAAGGCACAGTGCACTAATATTCAGTCATGACCGAATGCTGTAAGTGGAGACCTGTTCCGATTCCAGACAAAGTGCCTTTTTATTGGTCTATGAAAGTCTTTGACAGTGGTGCCTGGTTTCAGCTCAGGTGTTTTATGTTGTATGATGGGTGCAGAACAGGGTGGTTAAAACTGAATATTCATTATTAAAAATGACTGATTTAATAACATTACAGGAACATCAGAACGATCAGTTTATATTTAAATTTTATTTAAAATTTCACACCCCATACATTCCTCAGTATGTATATAAGAGAATAAGGAGAGCAAGAACAGCATTTCCATACCGGAAGAACAAACCCACACAAACAAAGATCCACTAGAGTTTCAGTTCGAGCTCAGATGGACAGGCAGACGAAAATCATTTTATATCTTAATACTGTTGAGCAATATTTATGACAGTCCTTGAGCTCTATAAACTATACAAGAGTCTGAACCTCTTATCAGTTTATTTAAATGCAGAATAGTCAAGACTTGTTATAGCAAACATTTCATTCACTTAAATGCCCATCTGCACATTCAACCAGGGGGGAGGGAGAGCGGTAGGTTAGTCATGTTAGTCACACAAAAAACAAACCGCAGCAAAAGAAACTTGAGGGTATCATAAAAAACCTTTAGAGCCCACATTTATTGCTAGTGATAGTAAAAGCATGTTGTGAATTTACAGTAGACACTCTTAGCTCATACAACAAACAGATAAATTCTTGAAAGTGCAGATTTTAACCTTTGAATCAATGCCAAATTTGTGTTTGTAAGTTGAACAGAAGATGGTTTTGTTTTGTTTTACGGAAAGAAAAAAATTTGCCATTTCTCAACATCAAAACAAACAGAGAAAAAGAGCACTCAAACCTGTCAATACAGAGTGTAAACGTAATTCATTATGCCACTGTGTAATTACTTATGAGGTTATATTTATATAATACAGCAAACTGACAATAAATACACTAAACAACTTTATGTTGACTCTCTGCGTAAAAAAAAATATACACTGAAATTGTACAGGACAGTGAGCAAATGAACAGCAATAAGAGATCAGTGTGGCACCTCCACAGCCCTACACTCTTAAAAATAACAGTTCCTAAATCATTGTCATTTAAAAACATTTCTTTAAAGAACCATCCACTGTAATTCTTTAATAAACCCTATAATCGGGACATTGTGAGCTCAACCCCCGGTGATGCCACAGCCATCCGTGGCCGGGAATCCAGCAGAGCCTAACTTGTCTTGCTCTCTCTGGGAGGGCAGGATAACCCTCCTTCTCCCCTCATCACTCAGCATGAAACAGTACAATACTAAAGAACCATACATGAGCTTTTGTTAGCTGATGTAACAGAATTGGCAGTCAGCATCAACACACTCCAGCAGCGCTGAGCTGTGAAATGATGCTTCCATTATCAGCAATTCAAAAAGTGATAGAGCTTCATGTGACTCAGAGGAATCGCTGCTAGTGTTCACCCTAGCATCGTGTGATGGGGGTGACCTACCTAACAGGTGGGAATCGGCCACTGAATTGGGAAGAAAATTTTTGGTTAAAATTCAAGGAAGCCTAAAAACTTTCAGACACTGAAATATTTTGTCCAAAAATGGTCAAAAGTGGCACTTTTGGTTTTTGGCCAAAAAAGAAAAAAAGGCAGAAAATTTTGCCCCCAAAAAAACACCAAAAGATTAAATTGGGTTAAAACAAAGTGTCAAAATCTAACATTTTAATAGTAATGAAAATGAGAGATTAAAAACAGAGTTTTTTCCCATTTTTGGGGCAGGAATTTTCATTTTGGTGCATCACTAGTAAAAATCAGAGTGCACTTCACATAAAACAATTCGGTTGACCTGAGCTACAATGACATCAGCTGAGCTGTGCAGTCACTCCATTACTCCACATTGGAGAGAGTTTTGATAGCATTTACATGGGTGATTTTCACAAGTCAGTGAGTTTCAAAATGCAGAGAGACCCTCTCCACTGCACCCAGGAGCATCCTACAGCGGAAAAGCTCAGATAGTCTGTTCTAGAAACATCTGTGTGGTTGGAAACTGAGCTCAGAATTAATCTCATGCACACACACTTATGCACGCAAGGGCGTGAAACAATGGAAGCAGTGGGATGGTGGTCCGCTTCAGCGTTTTTTGATATGACATCAGTGCCGCATGTGTGTTTTCCCAAGGCTCACACTGCTGCCGACTCAGCACTTCCCAGCAGTCCCCACTCCAGATAAACAGCAGGGTTAGGACATAGGGCAACGAGGTCATTCACACACTGTACTGCTACTGTTAATGTTGAGGAACACTTGATTTCCATTTATAATCATTTAACTGTGGTTACATAATTCCATATCTAAACACACAGTCATGTAATAAATATCAGACGTCATCACTTTTGACTTTTTCCCCTTTTGTTTTGATGTTACAAAACAAAACATGCAACAATATCTTCATCAAATTTAAACCACTATAAAGTATCTCAAGTTTTACTTAAGAAAACACATAACTGACTGTTTACAAAAGTCCCACTTCCCATAGTCACTGTTGCTATGCCTGCCAATGTCTCAGCTCAGGCTACCTGGTAGCATCTGTAGTATGAAGGAAAATTTAGAAGCACACAGAAGAGCTGAACGTTTAATTATTCGAAAATGAACTGGCTCTGATGTTCAACACGATGTACATGTTGTCCGGCTTTACACAGAGAAACTTTCATGCAACTTGTGGCATGCATGTTATGAGTTGCATGCAACATAATTTCCAGGCAACTTGACAGTTACATGATGCAATTCAAAAACAATTAAAATTTCTTGCTTAAAAAGTTCGTTTTGCCACATTGTGTCATTCTCGCTATATTAAGTCAACTGTTTGGTCATTCTGTCAAAGAAGCACTGCAAGTTCATCAAGTCACTGTGTCTCAATCTGCTCTGTGTAAAATCAGAGGCATTAAAAGATTCGATCACATGATCAGCGTTTTGATTGGCTGTTTCATGAAACCTGGCCAATTTAAGCTGAGATAGTTGCTACAGTTGCAGTTGAGTTTCAATTCCGTATGCAATTTAAGTGCAATTTAGTTACATTTTAGGTTTCAAGCAACTAAAATTGCATGAAAGTTTTACTGTGTAAAGCAGCCTTACCCACTGGACATTATGCAGCAAGATGTCATGTCTAACAAGAAAGTTGTCTTTTGTCTTTCAGCAAACTTACTTAAACGATAGAAATAACAGTTTGCATACAAGTACTTTATTATTATACATTAATATTTATGGTATAATTGCAAATGTGAGCACTGTACAGTCCTGTTTAATTTGACTAGTTTATCAAGCTAAATGTGAACTGCTAGGTTAAAAAGCTAATTTGGCTAACTTGGTTTCCTTATATAAGATCCTCCATTAGATATTATATTAAAATGCAAGCGTAAGTGTGCTTGTTAATATTTTTGGTGTTGAGCTGTGAGTGTGGGCTTTCACATGGTTTAATCCAAAACTTTCAGCTTCAGGAATGAAATAACGCCACCACCCCTCACAGTCACACTTTCCCACCATTTCTTAGTCTATAATAATTCCAACTACTTTACTACCACTGCCATTTTCACTGCAGGTTTGTCTGAAGAGTTTTGTCATAGCTGTTCCTTCTCTGGACAAAGGAAGTACCATTTAGTGACTGGTGGGTTTGAAAGAGAAGTCACTCAAAGGGTCAATTTGAGGTTTTAAAGCTGTACTTTTGACAAAACTTGTTCTTATATTCTACAAAGATTATTATAAAATACTGCTGATATCTGCGATAAATGGTATTATATGGTGTTGTGCTAGCAGTACCAGCTATTTTTCAATCTAATTAACTCTGAATGTGTTAAAAAACTGATGATGTCATGGAAAGGTGTTGCTGAAAAACAACCGGGAGCAACATGGCGTTCATAATCATTCCACTGTGAGTTTGGTTACTTCTTTGAAGTCAAACAGGCTGTAGTGGCTGGAGCGTGAAAGGCACAGGCTGGGTTTAATGGCTCGAGTGACAACATGCACCAAGGCCTATAATCTTAATCCATTAGTGTCCAATCAGAGCAGAATCAGCATGTTAGCACACTGAGCCTTCACAGAATATTAACACTCAGTAAAAGCCTGCCTAATTTAGGGCCTTGTCCTTACACTCACCCTTTAAGAATAAAAGTGGAATAAAGTGGGATTTATGTTTTAATGCGAGGTTAAAGGGACAGTTCAAGCAAAGCTAATGTAGAACCAGATTATCTGAATGTCATGCTAACTGATTACAGTTAGCTTTTAGCATTCTGTACTATTAGTCCACCCCACTGGAGTGCCCGTATGTGTGCCCACACAATTCAAAAGACAAGTAGGTTTTAGGTTCATTGACTGATTTTGGAAAGGTAAATAATATTATGTGTGTGCTGTAGATGTTGTGATCCCTGGTTCCTATCACCAGCATGGTAAAGAAATCCAAGCTACGTTTCTCTACAGTGAACCATTTCACATCCAACTACTCTAAATGACTTTGTTTACATCTCAACCATTGAACTACACAGAGATTTGTAAGACTGGTGGAATTCCACTTTAAGTTAATGAAAGCAGGGGGATGAATAAAGTAAGGAGAAAAAGTAAAGTGGGGTACATGTAGGTAAATGAGAATCCAAGCATGAAATTTAAACCCGACCCGAGTCTGACATGAGCAGCCCGGTCTCCTCGGATTCAGACAGATATTTCAAGCTCTGGGCACAATACACGGCTGTCAATCAAAACAGGTTATCGGCATGTATTAGTCCTGCCCAAGTGACAGTAACTGTTTAATACTAAAGGGTAAGAGAGTCTGTAAAAATGGTCATTCACAATTAATAATGACTATTTTTGGTAAGTATATTGAAGGGAAAAATAAAATACAAAGAAAATGTAAGATATGGTTCCTTTAAGCTTTATGTGGTTTCAGTCATGGTGGTAAGAGATTTATTCCGATGCTGCACTAAAATGTATTACCCATTGTTTTTTTTTGTTTTTTTTTCAGCTGACAAATCATCCCTATCCAAGTAGCTGTGAATGGTCATGAGCTCATAGGTGTTGAGTAAGTTGGACAGGAAGTAAAAAAGCTTTCATTCAGTAAAAGTGTCGCACTGTGTCAGAGCTGATCTCAACAAGAGCCGTGATGGGCGTCTCGCTGGAGGAGCCAGCACTGTCGTGAAGGGACATCTCCCTGAGAGAGGTTCACTTTTCACAGAGCTGGGCCCCTTCACCAAGGGAAACGCACAGAGAGAGAATGGGAGAGGGAGGGAGAGAAGGAGGGAGTCTCCAGGGAGACGAGACGGAGAGCGGAGAGAAGCAGCCTCATTAGGAGCAAAATCACATCACGCTCCCCGCGGGAGCTAACGAATCACAGTCACATGGTGCTGAGGGGTCAGGAGGTCGGGACAGACATTAATGGGGGAAGACGGCCTAAAAGAGCTCCAAACACTCAAAGCAATCTGTCCATCAGTTCGCTCTCTCTCTCTCTCCCTCTCCCTCTCCCTCTCAGACATACTGCATGACAAATCACACCAGTACAAGACTCAGTAATGTTTACCTGAGGCCTGCTTGCCCTTTGTGTTTAATCATGTCCATTACTGTTGTGAAAATCTTTGCTCAAGGCTTAATATCTTGGGGTTAAGAAGTGGTAGTGCAAAGGCTGATAATCCACTGCAGGATATGTGACATAATAATGTGCTTCAGGCTTCAGGCAATAGAAAAGCTTTATATATTTAGTTTTAGATAAGTCTTAGATATTTACATGATATTTACATGATATTTACAAGACATTTTAACAGGATCGCTATTTTTTTTTCTTCATCTGCTTTATTATTAAATATACACCATATGTCTAAAGGTGATTCAATCAAAAAACTACAGTTTAATATGTTATTTGTCATGTTATGCAGTATTCTGGAGAGCAGCACATATTACACAAATGCCCAGCATGTATTAAGCAAAGACATCACACAAATCCCTGTGGTGTTAACCAATCCTAACAACTAGCCTAGCCACTGATCTATAGAGCAAGAAATAAAGACAAGCTAGCATTAGTGTAACGTTTAGCTCGGCCACTGAACTAAATTGTAAAGAAAATAGTGATTCTGTCTTTATTCGGCACAAAAAGGATGCCAGAGACAGGACTTTTACCCTTTCAGCCAGAGAAATGAAGCCAAAATGAGGTGTCTACATAACCATTTAGCTACCTTACCAACTGTAGCTTTTAGCTCTCTGTTCTCATCTGATGAGTCATTTCTGTTCAGTAATCCATTCTGTTCATTATAATGACATATTGACTTCCTGTTAGTAATGTTGGCTATCTGGCTTCATCAAATTACTGAAAACAATAAATACATTATAATGAAACCTACTTGTTCAGTAATATGGCTATAAAAATGCACCACTGCTGAAATGGATAAATCTTTCTTTAGGGTAAAATTTGCGCTAATAAGACAAATGCGATCAGTAATGATTAACTACACAAAATAATGTGATAAATCATAATTAAGCATTTTAATTGTGTGATAATATATCATCGATTTTTACAAACATTATTTTTAATGTAAGTCAGTGTGGTTTTTTTCTAAGAACTAATTTCTATTGGTTCATTCATGATGAAATTTTGACATGATTCTGGGCTCAATTGATTCAGAGAAATAAAAAAAGAAAGCATTTATTCTACTTCTCACTGTACTGTATACAATGTATGCAGTGTACACTGCACAGTATGAACTGTAATGCCAACAGGCCAGACATTGTAAAATGACAGACCATTAGAAATCAACACCATAAGATGCAGCTAATAATCTCAAATGGAGTTACTTACCCCCTTAACCCCTTTCAGATCCCCCTTCAGCAGACTGTCCAGAGGGAATGTGATGATGTTGTTCATGTTCTGAAACTAAAACAGGAAAAGCGCATTAAACAACTCTTATTGCACTCTTCCCTGAGCTTCAGCTTTCTGTTTCGATGGAGATTCTAATTATGTGGAGAAACTGAGCCACAACAGCTCCAGGGAAGCAAAGTGCTTTCTCTCAGTAGGATCCTGATTAGCAGTTAAACAGCGCACATTCTGAATACAAACTCGGCAACAGGGAAATTAATCGGCTATGTAATATTTAACCAATAACATCAGCCAATATAATTGTATATGGACAAAAATGAAACACTCCAATCGTTTCAGTTAAACAGAGCTTTCCTGGTGGATACGCCTGTCAGTTGTCAACTGTGAATTACACAATGACTAAGTTTGCAGTTATCAAATTTCTTAAAATCAAATAAACAGTGTGAAATAATATAAATATTCTCTGGGAGCTTTCCAGAACTCTTTTTTTTGTCATCTGTTAATTAGCTCATATTTTTCCTTATTTTCCTCAGGCTTCTTCACATAAAGATTTTTGTGCTATAAAATATTATCCTATCAGATTTAGATGTGTGTTTATTGTAACCATGATAATGTTTTGCGTTCAAGTTTGCCAATATCTGCCATTTCAGCAGCCTCAGTAATAAAACCATAAAAATCCTCAACGATGAGCAATTCTCCACACATTTGTGTGCATCTACTTTGGGGTTTTAACAGGATTTTCTGTGATACCGAACATGAAACTTTAATATCAGGCAATTTAAAGAACATCTCGAGTGTCTGGGACTACTTAGATCAACAGTCAGATCAACAAAAGTAGAATTATAGTGAAATGAACAGGAGATGTTCATGAAAGCTGATCCACCACATAGGCTGATGATTGAGGATTACATTTGGGCTCAAGGGTCCCAACACATTAACAGCAGGAAGGAAATGTGCACAAAATCCATTTGCTCTTCAAGCCTTGAGTCACACACACACACACACACACGGTGCTCACCAGGTTCTTGAAGAGGGCGGTGAGCTCCTTGGTGAAGACAGAGAACTTGAGGAAGGCTGAGCCGAGGTCAGGGTCATCCCGGTACACACAGTTCTCCCCGAACTTCTCCAGAGCTTGAGTGTACTGCTCCTCGTTCTCCACATGAGCTGAAAGGAAAACAGCCAAAATATGAGCTCAGCACTGAAACCCCCTTTACAAGCAGCAAGAACACTTCCTTTTTATAAACTAGCGCTTTGGACAGTGTAATGTAGTGACCCTTAGAAGCCCACAGTTATTGTTGTTTCTATATATTCAATTAGAGCTGAAACATTTATTGCTCATATTAAAAATCGCAATTTGAAAGAGAGAAATTTTCAAATTGTAAAAGCTGCAATTTAAATTATACCTATATTATTTAGTGTTGCCAAAAGTTTGGAATGGGGAAATTTAAACTAATAACATAGAACTCACAGGCTGGAACACTACATTTAAAAATGGATGTGATATAAAATAATTGCATTTTAATCCTAATCTCAATATAATCATAAAGTAGCCCCTCTCCTACCTAACACACAAATATTCATACGTAGAATCTGAACTTTCTACAGAATTGCAAATGCTTATTTCAATGAGCAACACATGAGAAATGATTGAAGGGTTCCATATTTTCTCACACTTTCTTTCTTCATGTTCTACACTATTGAAAGTGGACAAATATCAGTGCCACATTATGATTAATATTCAGAGTGGCAGAAATGGCAAACGTATCAGATCACGATTTTTAAGGACACCTTTAAAGAGATTTATAAAAACTGCTATCAAAAACTCTGGGTACAACTCTGGGTGATTTTTATTCAACATTTCAGATCCAGCACAACACCAAAACCAGTTATACTGGACTAACAATGCTCTCTTTTTAACAAAACATGGAGCTGTTCAGTGTACTGATGATATCCACAACATGCTCAGAAAAGCATATTATGAATAACAATATTAACATTTATCACAATAATGATGAAATATTGTTATGTTAACCATCTCTAATTAATACAATCTTTATTAAAGAAATAAAAAATGTTTTATATTAAGTGTCTTTTCAAAAATGATATATCCAAAACTGTTACAAATGCATACACAGCGTTGTGGAATGAAACTGTTAAATTAATCATTGCCTTTCAAGGCATTTAGACTAAGAGGGACCTAAGAAGGTTAATAAAACTCTGAAATTGATGGTTTGAGTGGTTGGCAAAACGTTCTCAACCTTTTACAGCAACTGACCACAACACAGCATATGATCATCACAAGGACTGGCAGCGAACAGATACAAATATGTATTGAGCATATCAGGGTGCTGGAGCCCCACACAAATGCACAGAAAGAGCCAAGAGGCTGAAAGAAAAGGTCTAATGTTGGACTGTCATGATTAAGCTACTGAACTCCATTAACTGATTAAAAATTTCCAACTACATAAGTTAATGAATCCTCTACAGAGAACACTTCTGCACATTTTAATGCAAAATTAAATTGAGTTTATTTGCTGAATTGAACTAATTGGGGAAAAATCACAACACAAAATATGGCCTTTGTAGAAATTAATTTCATATTTTTGTTATATTTTTCCAATATGTTAAACTCAGCAAATAAACGGAAATTGTGCACTAAATTTTGAATATTTAAGTGTGTTCTCTATAGAGGATGAGTTAACTTATTTTCACTTAGAAAATCAACAAAACGTGATTTAATGAGGAGTGTTCAAACTTTGGTGTACAGCTGTACAAAATCTATTTAAAAGGCTTCTTAGTTCGAAAGGCTATTTATGCTATTGTTCAGTCAAGTCTAGTTCCATTGTTTGGCTGTTTTTCAAAACCAGAAAACAATCAACCAAACAAAACAATCTGTATTTTCTTCAATAACTAATATAATCAATAGTGACGGGCCTAATCTAATGCTGCTCATGGTGTAGAAGACTGAGTTCTTTCTCACTATCAAATAACTCTGTTATCTCCCTTGATTTTGGCTTCTTTCCTTTCACTCCTATTGTGCTGAACCAGAAACACACGGGAGCTGTTTATTATTCCAAACCCTTCATTCCCACTTTCTTCCCATTGTTACTGTGAGATGAGAGCAAAAGCCCCTGATAGAGTGCAATGGAAATTTAAACATATATCCAAAAATCCAGAACTTCCTCTTAGTCCTACAAAACACAACTCATCTTTCCCTATCTACATCCCCACTGGCCACGGCCGCAAAGCTAATGTTGAGACAACTTCCCAAAAGGAAAACAGGCAATCAGTTGATTCCCCGACCACACTGGAAATGCTCCAGTGTTGTTAACAATTAACTCTCTTTTCAGTTGGCCTCTTGGAAAGTGTGTAACACACAAGCCCAAACACGTCGTACAAGTGTATTTCAGGCTGTGTATGTGTGCTTAGTGGGGGTTGCAATCAACACCTGTAGTGTTTACAGGTCTTGCTTGTATGTGCTAAGCCTGCTTCCGTGCGTATGTTGATAGCCAGGCCATGTTCCAGCACTACTACAGCGAACTGTAAGATTTAAGAGGACATCAGCTCACAAATAATAGTTGTTCATACACAGGATTTCCTACCAACCTTTTCACCGGTGCTGCAACTGAAACGGATCTCTACTGCCACATTAATACTGCGCTATAGAGGAGAACTATCTAGTTTACTAAATAACAGTGAAAACACATGACAGTCTGTGTCAGTATATATCATTCATTCATTCATTCATTCATTCATTCACCTAAGCAGCTTATCCTCCTGGGTTGTTGGGGGTGGGGCTGGAGCCTGTGCTCACTGGGCAGAAGGCAGGAAACACCCTGAACATGTTGCCAGTCCATCACAGGGCAGATACTATGACATACACAGTCACACACACTTTCACACCTAGGGGCAATTTAGCATTAATTCAAACGGCCTGACTGCATGTCTTTGGACTGTGGGAGGAAACCAGAGCACCCCAAGGAAAAACTTATGAAGACACAGGGAGAACATGCACACAGAAAGGACCCTGGTTGCCCGGCCAGGGAATCAAACCCAGGCCCTTCTTGCCTGCCACCCCAGCATATATCAGTCACATAAAAACAAAAAAAGCCAGCTTCAGCTTCATATTCTGTAGACATGAGCGTAATGTTTTGAGGGTGTGTTCACATACAGCAGGCTTGGCTTAATTAAAATAAACCCTGGAGTGATTGCCCTGTTAGTGCAGTTCGTTAGAACAATGAGAACACTGGCATACCAACCCTGGTGGGCATCAAATAAGTGGACCGAGACTCCCAGAGGAGAACTCTGGTATGATTTGCTTCAAATATGAACACAAAAATGATCCAAAGACACATCCTAAATGTTCAAAACAAAGTCATCTCTTCTTTACATGTCTTCTTTGGTACATGCAACAGATACATTTCTGACGCTGTTTTAACACATGCATTTATCATCTCTTCATGAGCTCTGAATCAGTAACTATAAAATGGATAGCTTCGGTTGTAAAACGTTTCTGAAGCACATTCAAAGCTTTTATAAAATACGCTACAGATAGATAACACGTCGCCATGTGATGTTAATGCCTGATGTTTTTGACATCTTATAAAAGCAGTAAGACACTCAAGACCATATGTTCTCCCTGCTTTCTTTTGTGGGAAAACCACACTAACGTGCAGATGGCTTATTGCTCTAGAGTATCACAAAATTACAGCATGATTCAGAAAGTTCACTGGATATAATCCCAGTTACCGGGAAATCTGTCCAATATGTTATTCATTTTTTGCCTATCTGACTTTTGTTTGCATCTTTTGGTTCAATGTCAGTGTAAACGCTAGGTGAACCAGAACTACAAAGTAAAAACGTGCTTTGTTCCTGCTTTATTCAGGACAAGGAAACAGAACTACAAATGTAAAGAGGACAAAGACTGGGGAAAAAAAGGACAAATTAAGAAAAAGTACAAATACACAAAAGTGGGGGGCGTTTTTGGAATACATGGACATCCAAAATCATCATATTTGTTTAGTTAAGTGGATATTTGAATAAGGCATTGAACAAATGAGTTTTAAACCACCCATATTTTCTGGATTTAGATGTGAAGAACCTCATGAAGTAGAGGTTCAGGATATGGAAAAGATGCTTTGCATCAATGACACTGTGTTCATAACAATACAAAATGTTTCCTAGCTGAAATTAAAATGGGACCAAATGGAAATTGGATATTGTTAAAAATGGGACCAAGTATACTTGAGTGGATGCCAATATTCTTGGGGAGCCACCAGTGTGAAGGAATCACTGATCACTTCAGCAAATATGAACAAAATGAGGAACAAACTGCAACTACCTAAAAACAAGCCTATAATCTGTATGTTCCACTTGGCCCATCTTAACCCCCATACAGAGGCCAGCAGAACCCTGTTTAAGAAAACAAGTCTGCACTCTTAGCTATCACAAACTAAGACTAAGCAAGTGTTAGACTCTCAGTACAGGATAGTGTTACCACACGAAGCTAACACACTTTTGCTGACTCCGAGTTTGACACTGGTGTTTTCAGGACACAGTTACTTACCCCTGTACTAAAAACTCCTCATGATATGCACACAGGCAAGAATCAATAGCCTCTGATGAATAATACATGAAGAATAATACTGCCTACTTTGTGAGGATCAGTGTCGGAGGTCTCTCGCTCTCTCCCTCTCTCTCCCCCTCTCTTTGTCAGAACACAAAAAGGCAGGAAGTGAGGCAGTGGCGTGCTGTCATGTTGGAGCAGATCCAGAGTTGAGGCCATGTGGCCACAGAAGAAACATTCCCAAAAACAAAAGAGGAAGAATGGTAGACCAGGCAACACTCCAGCGGATCTGCGCTTTCATCTGTCAGACTGGACCTTGTTTAAACTGAAAGAGGCCTGAGAACCTGACCAGGTTTAACCTCTAAAATTCAGGGTTTATTCTTCAGTCAGTATTCTTGATGCGCATCACCTAGCACCTGTATAAGAATTATTCAGGAGCTATGATTATATTAACATGTAGTGTTATAGTATAGAATGATATAGTATTATGGGAAGGGGAGGGGAGGTCTGGGCCTGTCGACAGGTCCTAGGAGTTTAAAGGGTTAAAAAGCTCAGGATGTAGGAGAATTAATAAGCTTAGATAGGATTCTGAAAATAA